AATATTGACAATACACAGTTGCGGATCCAGGAATTTTCAGTTGGGGGAGCACACTTGTGCCTCAGATGAATTCCGTTCACCAAAGTTTTATATGCACATGTCAGTGAATATATAGAACACACCAGTGAATATATATATATATATATATATATATATATATATATATATATTTATATATATATATATATATATATATATATATATATATATATATATACTTATATATGATGAATTAACACAAGATCGACCAAAAATAACTATTGTATATTGAGCTGCTTTGTACCCAAAGAAACAACATTTATAGGTTTTTCTTACAACCTTTTAATATCTTGTTAAAATTTAATCTTATATTACATAATCTCCAGTATCTTCTATGTCTTCTATTTTTAAGGCAGAGACTGGAATAAGTTTTGTTTGTTGTTTGTTTTGTATGAAAAAGATTCAATTTTGTTCTTATTTTGTATATTCAGTTCGAAATTTTTTCAATAATCTTATATGGTCCAGTTTTCAGTTTCTCTAGTTTCTTCTTGTTTGCCATCAAGTTCCTGTATTAATGCCATCATGTTTCCTGCATTAAATTCATAGAATTTTATAGCATTTTGTATGCAATAAACATTAAGGGTAAGTATTGCGATCGTGAAAATTTTCGAGTCTGAGTTTTCAACTGAAATACATGGTCTCCTTAGTCCGAATAACCAAGTCCCACAAAATAGTCTGTGTGTGTGTATGTTTGTTATCAGTCTAGCTCAAAAACGAAAAGTCGTATGAAAATGAAATTGCCTATTTAAGGTTTTTATAAGCTTTCGATGTTACAGCAACAGTTTCGTCGAAATTGGCAAACCGGAAGCGGTATTTTATATAATTGATTTAACACATTTTTTCGATTTTCTAAAAAACGGCTCTGACGATTTTGATTAAACTCAGTATATCAGTGTATTATTAAACAGTTTTTAATACAATGTAGGTTTTATTCTCATTGGTGTTCTCTATGAATGCTTAAATGGCTAATTTTTAATATTGGCTTTCTCTAAAGTACCTTTATTTTTTTTAATTTGAAATAATTAACTATTTCACATTAATCTTTGATATAAAAAATAGTTAAATAGTTGTCTTTACAACCCACCAAGTTGTGTCTTGGTCTGCTTCGACATTGATCACCAGTTATCTATATCTAATGCTGCCTTCTAATTATAGATATCAAGGAGGGCTAGATCATCTGCAGCGATACATCCCTCTCTGCGAATTTGTGGTCTTCCTTCAAGACAAACTCCAAATATTTGCTGCCGGAACACTTTGGCAGGAATCTCCTCTCCCATTCTCACAATATGTCCAGCCCAGCACAACCTTTCTAGTTTGATGCGCTGGATCATATCAACCTCTTTGTGTATTGCTTTCAGCTCCGCGTTTGTCCTTCTCCTCTACGCCGTTTTGACAAAATGATCCGTAAATTCTTCTGAAACTTAACCCTTAAAACAAAGTATCAAAGCTCAAAGCCTCAGGGGTGGTGTGATTCAGTGAGGGTCTATGTTTCAGAGACATAATCCAGTAAAGGTCGGATAAGGGCTTTTGAAAAGTTGTATTTTTGAGGACTTCAGTATAAGATTGCTTCGAAGATGTTTATGTAGTGCAAAATAGCACCAGTTTGAGGCTACTGTTCAACTATTCGATTTCCACACCAAAATCATTCATTTCGTTCTTTTTTGATCCAAGGAATATAAACTCCTCAACCTTTTCAATTACCTATCCATCCATTATTATATTTGTCACCTGGCTAGACCCTGTGGGATTCGCATTAAGATATTTGGTTTTACTGAAGTTTATCAGTAGCCCCATTTTAGCTGCAGCAATCTTCATTGCAATAAATACATCCTTAACAGACTCTAATGACCTTTCTGCTATATCAATGTCGTCAGCTTATCCGAAGTGATTTAACTATTAAGGTTTTACTTTCCTCTACTTAACCTCAATAACCGTCCCATCTATTTTTTCCCTGCGGTCAAAAACCTAGGAGTAACCTTTGACCAGAGCCTCTCCTGGAATAACCATATCTCCCAGATTACCCGAAAATCCATAACTGCCTTTAAACAACTCCTAAGATTCCGTGATTGTATTCCTCTAAAAACCAGACAGCTCCTTGTAACCTCCCTTGTATTCCTCCCCACTTCGACTACGGCTGTTTGGTGTATGGAGGGCTATCTGCCAGGCTGGAAATGAGACTAAAGAGACTCAACATGAAAACATGAATTGCTTCATAAGATACATTTTCGGGATCCCCAGGCGTTCACATGTTTCACTCTGGTACACCGAGTTGAAGTGGCTTTATCCTACTTCCCGACGACAATTACTCCTTGGTGTTTTCCTTTTCCAAGTATTCAGAACCAAAAACCCTCCCTACATCCTGGAACTCCTTACTCTACGCTCCTCTATCCACTCTCTGAATACTAGGTCTCAACCTATAGATTTATATATTCCCTTTCATAAAACTTCCTCCTTCAGCAAATCCTTCGTCATTCGTGCTGCTATGCTTCCTTATGGAACTCACTTCCAACCTCCATGCGTCAATCCTCATCCACAAATTCCTTCAAACAACTCCTGTTCCAACACCTACTCCACATTCTAACTTCCCCTAACATGTAAAATTACTTGCATCTATACAATGTTTAATTTCAATCCATTGCACAATTAACAGTAAATTAGTTCGTGTTTTTATTATGTTAGACTAAGATCCATAAATGTGTAATTCTGTTATTATTCTTAGGGGACATTAGTCCCAGAATAAAATAATTTTTTCATTTCATTTCATTTCAAGGTTGTGTTCATAAGGTTGTGTTCCCACATCTGCACCCAGATTTACTTAATTTTCAGAGGAATCTCTGTGAATATTAACATAATAGGTGAAGGGTACATCAGAACAGTGAATATTTGCTATGTGTACAATAGCAAACATTTTTTTTTTTGTTTTGTGATCTTGTCACTAAGTGATGTCCTGTAAGGCGCCTACTAAGAGGTATCGGTCAGACGGCTCTCGTGGTTCACACGTTAAACAAAGAGTAAAATTTGTAAAAAAAAAAATGTCAGTTATTGTGTACCCAACTTAATAAAATCTTCTCCGGCAATTACTCATGCATCAACAAGACCAATGGAACTAAAATAATACCAGATACTGCTGAAACTTGTCGAAAAATAATGAGCAGGTAATGATTTTTCCTGCTTCAGCTGTTACGTGTGAAAATTCCCCTTTGTTTCTGATAAGTATTTCACCATTTTTCGATAAGTTTCAGCAGTATCTGATATTATTTTAGTTTCATTGGTCCTATTGATACATGAGTAACTGCCGGGGCAGATTTTATTTAGTTGATTACACAATAACAGACAATTTTTTACAAATGTTACTCTTTGTGTGGACCACGAGGCGGAGAGACGTATGACCGATACCTCTCAGTAGGAGCCTTACAGGACATCACTTGGTGACAAGACCACAAAAAAAAAAAAAAAAAAAAAAAAAAAAATGTTAGCGATTGTGCACATAGTAAATATTAACTGTTCTGATGTATTCTTCATCTGTATTATGTTAATATTCATGGAAGTTCTTCTGAAAAATTGTTTCCTTGATCCAATTAGGACATGATCAATCTGAGAGGTTGTGACACGCTTCTTGGGACCATATTTTCTCCATTTTCCGAGATATATCTTCTTATGGGGAAAACAGTAGCTCCCCACAATCAAGTCTTTGGATGAAGCAAGACTTATTAAGCGTCTCTTATTGTCATTAATTACATAATGAAGACTATTTGGACTAATGGTTGATTGGTAAATTATCTCTTTCCCAAGTTGTGCGTTGAAATCGGCAACCACAAGTTTCATATCGTGTCCAGGGCATCGATGCATGCCTCCAAACTACTCAGAGAACAAATCTTTGTTTTCCTCTCCAGACACATCTGTAGGAGCATGAGCGCATATTATACTATAATTATAAGATTTTCTCCTAATCCGTATCGTGTACAGAGGCTGGCATTAATTGGTTTACGCTTGGTAATGCAATACCAATAGAGGGAATTTGATCTTTCCTTCCTCATTCCTTTTATGACTTAGTAGATTTTCTGGTTCTCTTTTGCATTTTATGATCAAATTCTTCCCATAATTTTTGTTTGGCATAAAGAACTTTTATCTTGGCTTATTTTTTTAGAGTGTGAGAAATGAGAAATATTATAGTTATAGCGCAATTGTTACGGTAATCATTTTTTAAAAAATGTTTTCTTCCCTGATTGTTACAGCCGTAATTACTTTTGGTGAATCAGCTTTGAATTAATGTCAGTCATCCGGATGACTGGTAATTTATTTGAATGTTCTAAAATTTAGATGGGATATTATGCCAAATCCATAGAATTCTTGTGTGCATTCTTCCACGAACTTCGATCTCGTGAGAAAACGAGCAAGTTCCTAAACTCGGTGCTGAGGTCATAGATGAGTATTGTAAATCCCTCTATCTATTAGTGCTGAGTTTAGGAACTTTCACAATTAATTAAAAAATTATATTCAAATAAGAAGTTCAGTTTTCGTAGCATTTTCCATATCTTCTAGAGCCCTAAAAATGGTGCATAAGATGTATTTTACCTATATATGTACGTACATATGTTTCACAGATCTTTTGGCATATCTTTTAGATATCTATTAGACATCTTTTATTGGAATGTTTGTTGGGAGGTGGGTAGTTTATGTGCTGCACTACTAAATATTTGTATAAACGTTTGTTTATTAGACCGATTAAGAAACGATCAATATTCCCGATTCCGCCAATATTTGGTATTAATGGTGAGACATATTAATATCTTAATTTTTCTCGAATTTTCATTTCTTTAACATTTCAATATAAATCCCTCATTTTTAATATTAATGAACAATATGTTACCTAATGCTAATATTATCGATCGTATTTGTATTTTTTACTTTTACAATCTTCCCAGTTTTCTTATCAAGTTATCGTGATTCTCTTTGGTATTAAGAAAAGGCTCCTCCAAAACAAAAGATTAACCTTTTGATTTCAATTTCAGTGTACTGTGATATGTCATCAGAAGAATTAAATCCGTTTATTGAGAACCTATTCAGTTTTTTGATCTACATACTTCAAACCATTAAAGAAAACATTTTTTTGTTACTCGAATTAGCATTAAAAGATAAAGATAAAACTTATAATTTTTATTTTTCCTTTGATAATGCACAGAAGAATGCCTTGATTTTTCTCACAACTTTGTTTATCATAAATTGTACTTCAATTCTCTTTATATGGAAGTTCCATGGTGAAAAAGTTTTCAAGAGATTTAAGAAGCCCAGTAAGTGAACATGTTTTGTTTTTATCGATTTTAATATTTCACACTCCAAAATAGTTCATTAGTTCTTGTCAGATGTAATATTATTGTTAGAGACAGTAGTCTATTACAGTAAATCAAAAATATAGAATATTGTCTATTTGTTTTAAATGAGATCAAAATGATGATTCATGATTGTGAAAAAGCTTTTATGTCATATTTGTTTGTTTTGTTTCTTGGATGGATGGATCTTGAAATAATTACTAAGCTAGGAATCCAATTGTAATATAATTGATGTAATTAGGAAAAAATAATAAATTTTAATATAATTTAATAAGTTTTGAATATAACAACAGGAGTTAATAGCATGGTCGAGATTAAAAATTTCTTGTATTTTTATCGGCTTTTATAAATAATGAACTTTTTTAATGTCTGGAAAAGTATTATTTCTTAAAATGAAATATCCTAACAAACGTAACCATTTTGAAATTGAAGTATCAAAGCTTATTAAATGTTCCCTAACCTTAATATTAATGTTATTATATGGTGAAAAATCAAACACTATTTCCGTCACTCCAGTAAATTGAAGTGATCTTGGCCCAAGTTTCCACTAGTTGACACTTGTGAACTAGTTCAAATTTTGTTATCTAAATGATTGATGTTAGAAGGGAACACACACATTAAGGTTCTGGTTTAAAATATCTTTTGGTTTGATATATTTTTTTTAACTAATTAGGTTTTTCAGTGAATATTGATGTAATAAATATTTTGTAATGGTATGCTTTGAAGATTGGTAAAGGGGTATATTGTTGTGTATTGATATTATTTATGAAATTTCAAAATAGGTCTTTTTCTGAATACTTAATAAGGGTTATTTTAGTAAAATTATAGTGTCACATTTGGTTGACAGGTGGGCCTAGATCACATGATCAATATTACAGGGAGCACTATAACATACCAAGTCTCTCCGGAAGTATACAGAAACCTTTAGAAACACTTTTTCTTATTGATTAGTTTAAATAACTGGAAAATGACTTATTCCCAACATTTAGGTTATGTTATGTGTCTATTATTAAAATAAACACAATTTTTATGTTTGATATTAAAACCATTTTAAGGGACTTTTAAGCAGTTAAACTATGGCAAGTTGCGCTTTTCATAAAATCAAGGTTTCTTTGCAATTTTTTTTATAACTTCCTATTTGGACTGAAGATACCAAAATTTTAGGAAAACTTCCTTGTTTGATGAGCTTCAAGTCTATATTATTTAAGTTGAGGTTTGTTACTTAAGATTCATCTCTAATCTCTAATAGAATGAAAAAAATCTGGTGCGCGCAACACACAACTTTCACTTACCGCTCTTCTTTGAATAGAAATTATTTTCTGACAATGCTGGGCTATTATAAAATTTTAAGTACATTTTAAACGGAGCTAAAGCTTAAAGCTTACAGATAACAAGTCATTAAGACCATTATAATTACATAATGTCTATTTAATATATCGACGGTAGGATTTTTATAAACCACACAACTTTCTTTGCTTTTATAAACCACAGAATGGCTAACTCCAATTTCAACATTTTTGAGTAATGTCAATTTAGTGATATTTTTAGTTGAAAAAGTTATCTATGCAGACAGTGAGTAAGTTGATTCCGGAGGTGGTGATTGTAGTGTTGAAATATAGAACTGAGAATAAAGGTATAAATTTAGGTACTTATTTCTTATGAAAGATGTTCTGAGGTAAGATACTTTATTAAATATCTGTAGAAAAAAGTTTTTTTAGTCTCAACAATTAAAAAAGTATATTTTAAATTTATACAAATTTTCGCCTCTTCAGGGGAAAAAACTAGAGACCATATCTTTCCTCCTAATTGTCCGATTTTAACGCATTTTTTTGTTTTTTTAGGAAATTCCATAAACTTTTAAAAAACCATATACAATATCCGCAAAAAAGTGTATAATTTTTGAGTTATTCGGAATTCAATTTTACCATCCCTCGTAACTTTTTTTCCAGCTTCTTTTCGTTGAAGTATGTTATATAGATAAATTTAAAGGGTGTCGAGAAAATGACTTTAGCGAAGTTTCATTGAAATCGGTACTTTCGTTTAGGCGCTACAGTCTATGGCAATGCAGGTTTTTCTGCATTTTTATTTTTTTCTCCTTTATTAACTTATCAAATTCTTTCAAAAGTTATATGTAGCATTTTTTTGTAATTCTGAACAATGCAAAATGATTAACTTTTTAAAATAAACCATATTAAGGGTACTTTAGAGGAAGACATATATGAACAATGGGAATTTAAACCCTGTAAAGTGACATCAACGGGGATAAGACCTAAATGATATTAAAGACCATTTAATTATACAATGATACAACGAGTTTAATCAAAAAGCCTTTTTTGAGAAAATTGTAAAAATGTGCTTCAGCGTTCATATAAAGTGGCACTTCTGGTTAGACGATTTTAACGAAAAAGTTACTGTCATATCCGGCTCATATACAAACCTTAAATACTTAATATCAGTTTTCTACTACTTTTCGTTTATGAGCTAGACTGTTTAGAGGACTCAGGGAACCTCAAAACATGTATTTCTGTTGAAAACTGAGATTCGAAAATTTTCACGATCGCAATACTTACCCTTACTATATACATATATACGTAAGTGAAAGTAATAAGTGAAAATAATTGTTTCGATTCCTAATTTTACCGTACTAATAATCTTTTTACTAAATTAGAGTAAATATAAACTCAACTTAATTAATACAGAGTTAAAGCTTATCAAATAAGGAAGTTTTTCTAAAAGTGTAGAATCTTCAGCTCAGTTGAGGGTTTATAAAAAAAATTGTGAAGAATCCTTGATATTATGAAAAACTGAACTTACTGTAGTTTAACTGCTTAAAAGTCCCCTTTAAGTGGTTTTAAAAAGGCAACAATTAGTTCTTTAATGTAAATTTAATCTAGTTTGCTATGAAGTAGTTGGTTGTAACCCTAAATTAAACATTTTTTTTAGTTATTGTTTTTTATTAACATAAAACGTGGTTGACTTAAAAATTACAAAATTTAAGTTTCCTTGTTCTCTGAATTTAATCAGAAAATTGTTTATATTAAATTTGTATAGGTTATAAGGTCTACTGTCACATATTATCAATCATATGAAATTGATGTCAATCTAAACTCCATATCAATATCACAAAATTCTTCATTAATTGATATCAAATATAATTCTGTTGTCATTGACTTTTTACAATCATCAAAACAAAGAAAGAATAATATTAAACAATCGAACTTTAATAAAACAAATTAAACTTCAAAATGGTATCATCTACTATGAACATCAATTTCGTAGTTTAGAGAAATTTTTGCTTGAAGGATTAATACAATAAATATGATCTCATAAATATCTCCATAACCATTTTATGGTTTTGCATTTTATCAAAACAATGTATAGGATAATTTTTACGATTTTCTCAAAAATGGCTCTAACGATTTTGATTAAACTCTGTATATCAATGTATTATTAAGTGTTCTTTAAGATCAGCTAGGTCTTATCCACATTGATGTCGCCTTATAGGTCTTAAATGCCTAATGTTCAATGTCTTCCTCTAAAGTATCTTAAATTTGGTTTATTTTAAAAAATAACTGGCTCTTATTATCATTAAAAATTAAAAATGATCGATTATAAAGTATGAAAGAATTTGATCATTGAATAAAGGAGAAAAAAAGAAAAATGCTTATCTAAGTTGAAAATGAATCTCCAGAAATAATAGTCAGAAAGTATACGTATAATATATCGTTAGAAAGCGAAGAATTTTAGAAAAAATAATATCTAATATAGAAAGTCGTTGAAGGTAATGGAGAGTGACAAAAAATTATAAATAATAATTTCTGAAAACTAATATTATGTAACGGAAACCACATGTTTTCAAGGAAATAAAATGGTATTTCTTAATTAAATATAAACATTTAAAATTATTTTTCAGTTTCAAGTTTAGAAAAAAGTTATAAAATAAGGCATTGACATTGTTACAAAAATTATTTCATTGTACTTGTGTGAAATATAAAGAAAGAAATTTTGGATGGGTAAAACATATGTTTATAACTGTATATACATTTACTGTATTTTAATAACTATGGATTCAATATTATATTTAAACAATTAGGTATATGTTGTCGATTTACTGAAAAAAAAAATAAAAAATACTCTATGAAATAACATTATACACTTACAATCATTCTTACGACTTTTGACTTATCGATGCTGTATTTAAAAACAAATAACTTTTTTTTTTGGTAAATTTTCCAAGGGTAAAAAATAAGAATTTAAAAAGTGATAAGAAATATAATTCCGAAAATTTTTATTGTGCAGTATTACCTTACTTATTCATAATTAAATACATGTACGCTCGAATCTCTCTTTGTCTATAAAGCTAGAAGACTGGATTTATGTGATTCAAATAGACTTATGCAGTTATAAGGTTTTTATTGCCTATAATGGATATAATAAATAGGATTTATGTTATTTTGAGGGTCTTAAGAAATTTTTATATTGATAAATATGTCCAAAAATAAAAAATATATTGTTCGAGGTTAAACTCCATTAAAAACGTGCTTCAAAAACTTCGTGAAATAGCCCAATTTTGCCAGACAAGAATTTCTTTTTGAAGCAGAGCACAAAGTGAAAGTTGTGTGTTGCACGCACCCGATTTTTATAGATATTTTAAAGTAATTTAGTATTGTATTGAACAATTTTTACGAAAAATAAAAGTTTCTATCCTTCGCCCCCTCCCATCATTAAAACCTTACACGAGATTCTTTAGGACTTTATGCCAGTTATAATGGGAATGGTAATGAACAATTTTTGACAAGTTTCATCTTTATTTTTTTATTATTGGGGTCTATCCCTACTTTTACTGGACTAATATGGGTGATTGATAGAGGGTGATGATATCATGCATTACACCCGAAGATGGGCATAACTGATTTAATTCATCGCCATCAAATTTCTTTTCTCGAGGTGCTTGACACTAGTTTTGGTAATTTAAAGGATTCCATAAAACTTGTCCATCTCCTTGATGCTCATTACTTTTTATTTATTAACATCAGGGACCTTGGCATTCTCAGCCTTTGGTTAAAAAATAATGTTGTGAGATTACTTTATACTGTATTTGCTTAACTTTTAAAGCTCTTTTATTTTTTTTTTATAGCACCACCAAAAGTATTTGAAGAGCTTAATAGAAGTGTATCGAATTTAAAACTTCCTAAAGTTTATTCTCCCCGAATATAAAATGAAAAAATTTGTTGAGGAGAAAAAAAGACAATTGAAGTTCAAATTGGCTGGGCCGGGTCATCGCCTAGCTTCTGATGGTGCCGGATCAAGTTCGGATGATCCTAACTCAGCCAGCTTAAATGCAGCTCTGCAAAGATCTGAAAAACAACAATCTGATCAGAGTAAAGGGTAAGTTATATAAATTTTCTGAACTTCCTAATCATTTCTAGTAGTTCATTACTTTCTTTTATTGAAACATTAATCATATATGGAACAACTATCCATTCTTACATGAGAATCTCCGTAAAAGTTATAAAATAGATCAACCATGATATACTTTTATTCTGGAAAAGTAGATTTGAAACTATTATGTGCCAGTTAATCCTCCAAGTTGGTACACACGTAAAGCGCTATGGATCCGCTTCCAAAAAAAAGAAAATCTTTTTTGTCCGAATATTTGTTCAATATTTCCGCATCTTATCGATTCAAGAGTAGGAATACCTCAATTTGTAATAAAAAGACATTTTATTAATTCTATTGTTAATCTCCGAAGACTTGCTGGTCAACAATGAGAGGCGTCCTCCAGACTTGCTGGAGTGTGTGACGTAGGATTTAACGCTCTATTCACATATCTATAGTTCTCAAAATATCAAACAGTCATGAATCCGTAAAACTCTCATTATCCAGAAGCAAACTAGCCCCCGTTCTGGTGGGGACTGCTTTAGAGGATTCATGTTACAAGTTGAAAACTAGAGATTTAAGTATAGGGACATGGAATGTAAGGAGTTTGAATATAGCAGGTGGGTTAAAATCGTTCGCGAATGAGGTTAATGGATACAATTTAGATATCGGCTTTGTAAGAGTTTCGCTTGCCAGAGGAGGGCTTGATAAGGAAAGGAAAGTACACTATTTGGTATGAGAAAGTGGAAATCATTGTTTAGGTATCGGTTTTCTTATTAGGAATAGATTTCTATCCGCTTTGAGGGACATGCAATTCTTTAGCGATAGGATTTCAGTGGCCATATTCCAGGGGCGTTTTTTGAAAATCGTGTTAATGAACATTCACTGTCCGACTAAAGACAGTGAATCCAAATTGTGAATTTTATAATAAACTGGAGTGGGCTTATGATAAACTACTGCGCAGTAGCATGAAAATAATTTTAGGGGACTCTAACACAAAGATGGGATGGGAAAAAGTTTATTTTCCGATGACTGGTAAAGAAAGTGTACACGATTATAGGAATGATAATTGAAGTTGGTTAATAAATTTTGTCATCTCCAAAAACTTCTTAATTAAAAGTTCTATGTTTAAGCATAAGGATATTCACAAATATACTTGAACATCACCAGATTCACACAAACTCGAAATCAAATCAATCAAGTCTTAATACAGCATAGGTAGCAAAATAGTATAATTAATGTAAGGTCTTGTCATGGGTCGTAAAGAAAGTAAGAGAACCTTTTCGATTCCGAGGATTTCAATTTCAAAATCCATCAATTAGAACTCAATTTAAGCTTGAAATTAAGAATAGATTTGAAGAGAATATTAAGGTTAGGTTGAAGGCGGGAAATGCTTGGTATTTTTCTTTGTCGAAACTACTTAGTTCGTGCCTCCCGTCCTGAAACTTAAGAATTAGAATTTACAAAACCATTATCCTTCCTACGTTTCTTTATGGATGCGAAATGGGGCTGTTACATTAGGGGATGAGCTACATCATAAGGGTTTTGAAAACAAAGTGTTCCGCAGGATATTCGGACCAAAGAAAAATTATTCAACCGGAGAAATTTAGGGAGTTACACAATGCTGAATTGCCCAAACTGTATCCGGTTAATATAATTGAGATAATTTAGTTTAAGCCAATAAAATGGGTATGTTAAATCGCTGGGCTTAGTAACGAAAGAATCCTTAAAAAATTAATATGCGCTGTGCCGATTGGCAAGCGTCCGAGGGGTAGACCAAAGTGAAGATTTGAAGATTGGGTTAAGGCTATTCTGGTGTGGTAGGGTTTAGACGGTGCCCGGTGGATGGAAGAATGTGGACAACGATCGGTGGTATCAGCATCGAACCTTCGAGTTTGCGAAGCCTTATTATTATTATTTTTATGATGTTTTTTTCACTTTTGTGGGTTGAATAACTGAGGTGGGATACAATGTCCAGCTATCTCAATTTTATCTTTATTTTTAAATATTTAAAAATTTCCAAACGATTCGTGATATGTCCAAGAGAATTGATTGCTGTGTCTCTCTTAGCAAATCAAGAGATAATTCCAGACTATCTGTGCCTGCCAACGTTAATTTCGTATCAGCCCATTAGTGGATATTATAATTGGGGTTGTAACGCTTTCCAATTTATATAGTTCCTTTAATTCAATAGCCATTATGTTCTGAGTTTTTCTCTCACTGTGGAACTTATATTATTATTGTAGGAGATCCCGACATCATCCCAATAGAGCTTGACGGGACCTTTTTGAAGGAGTCTATTTGGGTGGTACTTATACTGTGGCACCTTATCTTCTAGTAGTAGACCTTTTTGAAGGAGTCTATTTGGGTGGTACTTATAATGTGGCATCTTATCTTCTAGTAATTGGAACTTAATAGCTAGGGCCTGATGAAATTTTTTGTCACATTGTTATGTACTGGAGGTACTCAGTACCAGCTAACATTCCACATCCACGAGTGATATGTTGGATTGATTCCAGCGTAACTGAGCATAATTGACATTTATTCGGTGCTGTTGCGTCTTTTAGAACGTGCCTTCTATATGATCTGGTAGCAATAACCTGATCTTGGATGTCGATCAAAAAACTGTTTCAGAGAATATCTTGCCAAAATTTTGTTTTTTTGCTCCAACATTATTGTGCACCGCGCCCTCTAGTAGGCGTATTGTGCGTAACTAAACTCAGTTAAAACAGGCCAGATGCCTTCATGAACCTATTGATCCTGATGAGATCAATGAGTTCGCAGTGCTTGGGGTCAGTGATATGATCACATCCAAAGTGAAAGTATCGCAGTCTAGCCAGATTATCACATTTGCAAATAATGTGATGGGCTGTTTCATACTCCAGGCCATATAGCCTGCAGGTGGAGGTTTCACTTATACCCAGATTAAAAAGGTGCTTATTTAATTGACAGTGATCAGTATACAGTCCTGTCACCCGCCTAATGGTATTCTTGTCCATTAGAAGAAGTGAATTGCTTCTTTTATGGCAGGGCCCTACAAGGAATAATTTAGAATGAATCTGTTTTCTAGTCTGTGCCCAGCGTAGCATGAATTTACTGACCACAATTGTCTTAATATATCTTTTGGTAAAGGCAAGGCTTATCCCACAAATAGACTCTGCTGCAATCGGCATCTGTGCAGAGCCTTTCCTAGCAAAGTAATCAGCCTTCTCATTTCCTGGAATTCCCGAATGCCCAGGTACCCATTCCACTCTCACCTTGTTAGTACTACAAAGAAGATTAAGATTGCATTTGCATTCATCCACCAACTTTGAGCGACTTGCATAACTATTCAGGGCCCCAATTGCAACTTGACTATCCCTATATATTGTAATCAATCTATTCACAATGCCCTCCTGAATAAGTGATTGGGCACAGAAATCGATGGCTAAAATCTCGGCTTCAATATTCCCTCGTTAGGCTTATCCTTTCTCCAGATACCAGCTCCTGATCCCTGCTCCATTAAGGATCGATCGGCATAACAGTTAACTCCATTACATGGTTTATGTGAATTAGATGTGTTACTCCTGCTTATATTCAGATTATATAATATGTCTCTATAATTATCAACTTGAAGGTCAGAGCTCATTACAAGTACCTCATTACTGTCAATCCTATCAAAAGCGATCCCATGTCCCTGAAACGTCACACAACGGCTGCATAGAGAACTATAGGTCTAATCGCAGTTCTGTATAGCCATAGGGCCATGCTGGATTTTCCAGGCACCATTGTATCATATGGGGTATGATCTAATGCACCTTCAATATCGACAAAGATGCCCGCCATTATCTCTTTTTGCGATAAACTTTTCTCTATTCTAGAGACTAAATAGGGCAACGCTGACTCACAAGATTTGCTGGCTTGATAAGCAAATTGGGCACAGTGTAGCGGTCTTTCTACCAATGTAGTATCCCTAATGTGTCTATCTACAATATTTTCCAGCACCTTCAGCACAAAAGAGGTCAGACATATAGATCTATATGCTTTGGGATTGTCATAAGACTTTTCCAGGCTTAGTTATATAACAAACTCTTGCTTCCCTCCACTTATTAGGTATATATGCAAGTGCCGAACTCCCCCTAAATAACTCTAAGAGATATGGTTTAATTACAGATAAGCCCTTTTGTAACAGGGCTGGGTAAATCCAATTAGTGCCCGCTGATTTGAATGGTGCAAAGGAATTAATTGCCCATTCAATCCTCCTAGAATTCACGATTCTTCTGGCTTCTACCCACTTATCTTTGCCACAAATGTGCCTATTCATAGTGACAATAACTACATACTCCTCTAGCATTTGACAGCCAGGAAAATGAGCACTCTCTAGAGTAATCTCCGGAATAGGTGTTTCCTCCTTCAACCCTGACCGTGCCAATGACCAATCCATCTGTTTGCTTTGACAGGATTTTTTAGACTCTTGACGTGGAAGACGTGTTATTAATATCACTACAGAAGTTCCTCCACGCCCCCCTTTTTGCCTTATGTACAGCCTTATTATATTCAGTTATGGCATGCTTATAAGTATCCCATCTGCCCATATTCTTGGCGGCATTGAAGAGTTTTCTAGTGGTGGCTCTTAACTTCCCAAGTTCATAGTTCCACCAGGAAACATTCCTATTAGATCTAATACGACTGACACTATTATTCTCAGTGTAGTACCTCATGATTCCCTCATATAATGAGGAGTTGAGGCATTCCAGATGCCAGGTATTCTAATAGTCTTAGGAAAGCATTTGACTTCTTCCTCCAGCTGTGTACAGTATCTCTCCCAATTTGTACATTTTGGGTTTCTGTGCACAGACTCATTCACATTATATCCAGACAGGTCAAATCTGATATAGCCATGATCATAGCATGATTCTTCATAAGAAACATGCTAATCCTTATCCTAAAACTCAAGCAACACGTGCCTATTGTTATGTTTATTACTTCCAAGCGGATTCTATTAACAAAGGTGGCAACGTTGCCCCTATTTAGAATCTCAATGTCGAAGCTACTTAAATGTTCTAAAAGAGACTCACGTCTCCGGTTGTTCTTAGAACTCCCCCAGATCCTGTGGTGATCATTGGCATTAAGTCCTGCAATCACTTTTTATTTTCCCATCCTCTCTTCTAAGCTTCTCAGAGCCGCTGTGGGGATGTCTTCTTCGTAGGGGAGATACCCTGCTGCCACTATAATCCTTTCCCCATCCTTACCCTCAGAAAGGGCCAGTTGAGCTGTTGCCAGGTCCCTGAAACAATGATGCCACAGAGGCATTAGCTTAATTCTATTCTTGAACAGGATACAGGTTCTTGGACACTCAGGCACTGCAACAATGCTATACCCAGTCATGTCCAGCCCCCTAATCCTGTTCTCGAACAGGTAAGGTTCTTGAATTAATACAATATCAATATCCTTACCTCTAACTTACTGCTGCAGCACTCCACAGGCTGCCACACAGTGATGGATATTCACCTGCAACAGCTTAACCATCATTAAAGGGAGCCAGTTGCAGGACGACCACCCTCCGCTGGGGTCCATCCGTCCTGATATCGTGTTCCTCAGGTCCAGAGCCCCCTCCCATCCCCCACATCTACCGGAGATAAGCCCTCCCGAGCTGGCTCAGACGCTACAACCATTCCACTAGTGGAAGCAAAAGTTCCCCCTACTTCCTCTACATGGGAAACTTTTAAAGAATCAGTGCCCACCTTTGCGGTCTGCGTACTAGGTTTGGGCGGCTTCTTCTTCTCAAACACCGTAAGTACAACTTTAGCAACGCCGTACCTCACCATCATATTTCTGCCCTCAAGGTGTTTGATACTTGTCTCAGGGATTCTAACGATTCTGTAGATTCCACTAGTCTCCGCCTTAGTACCCAATATCTGCCAACTATCGATATTTGGGATCGTACCATTTTGAATGCGGAGTCTCCTAATTAATAGCTCCTCCACGATTTTCTCACCAGGGAAGTATGCTCCCACCCTGACGGCTTTCTTGAGTTCCTCTGCATTACCAGCACGGAGTTTAACCCCCCACTGATAGTGAAGCCCTCCACTACACTATAGATCCAGTCTTTCTTGGCTTGGTCATCACAGACGATGATACATCCCCTCAGATGGTGGCTGAAGCCACTAAACTCAGGAATAACGCCACTGAACTCCAGACGATCAACAAATTTGATGACCTGGGCTTTAACTTCCTTGCCCTGTTCCCTAGAAAGCTGCACCGATGGATAACCACAAGGGATAATCGCCACCCTACTGCCCCCAGTCGCCAGAGCATAAGAAATTGCACCAGCTTCCCCGCTTCTGGCCCTCTTCGTCACTGGTGCCGAGTTCCCTGGCGAGGATCTGGTATGCTTCATGACCCGTGCTCGTCACTAATCGGTGCCAGTACAGCTGGAGCTGCTGTTACCAGTAGCTCAGTTCCAGACATAGCCTCTTCATCCTTTTCTATTTCCTTCTCTGCGCAAAAGAGAACTTCAGTTTTGGTGGGACACCAGTTCCACTAGCCGTACCCTTAACATCCTCTGTTAACACAGAGAGCTTAGAAACCTCAGCTGAGTTAGTCTCTGTGGAGCTTCTTGAATTTTCCTCACGAGGATCCATCGATGGCCCCTTCGAGTATCTCCCAGCCACTTCCTTCTCTAACAATTCCATTTCTGTGAGTACTTCCAAGTCTATATCAGTGTTGTCAGTCCGTTTAATTGGGTTGTTTGGTTCGCTCATTTTGATTCTCACGAGTATGGGGGTGATTAAAAGTTCGCTACAGGTACTATTCCCTCTCCCTGCCGAAGGCTAAATACAATGGGATGCGCCAAGTGCCCCAAGTGGGTCGAGTTGACAGTGTATTTTTATAGGTACCCCCTGCCACTCAGCCATGGCTCGAGCGCCCTCCACCTAGCTTGGGTGCCGTAGTAGGATCCACACAACTGTCCTCTAAGCTAGAGGGCTGAAGTGTGGATCCCCGCCTCTGTCGTTCGTGAGTCCCATGGGACTCCCTGGGGGGCACCATGAGAAGGTGACAGTAGGAGTTTATAGGGATAGGGAGGACTGGGAAGTCACAAGCAGTGGGTAGGTCACTATTGCTTGATCATTCCGCAAGGAGTGGGGGAGATTCCCACACCCATCTCCCTCTCCAGCCTTCCTGTTACCCTACCTATTTGCCCTCCAATCTTTCCAACTTTTAACCATTCGACTGATCTTTCCTTGTCAATGGAGATGTCATTCAATTGGCTGTAGAATCTCACATGCAGTGATTTGGTTTTCCACTCTGTCAACCATTCATTTTTTGACACAATAGTTGAGTCATCATGTTTACTTTAAGTGCAGTTAGACCAGAATTCGTTCTTGAAATTGCGAGATGAGCTCCTGTTCTTTTCGAGAGAAAATATCTTTGTAGGGCCATTTCCTGCTTGCAGAAAGCTTCTTCGATATTTAGCAAACCACGCCCTCCTTCTTTCCTAGGTAAGTACAGATGAGCTTTGGAGGAAATTGGGTGGTGTGCCCGTTCTTGTGTGAGAGTCGTTCACAAAAGGCGATCCATCTCCTGACTGGTGTTTGACCACTGTATTATGCCGAAGATATAACTGAGCGCAGGTATAGCCCAGGTGTTGATAGCGTTGATATTTTGTTTCCCAGTTAGCTGAGTCTTAAGCACCTTTCACAATCTAATTCTGAAAATTGTTCAAAGCTCTTGTTTCATGTCTTTTCGAGCATTTTAATCATGCATTTTAACCGAACATTTATATAATTTATTGGATTAAAATGTCTTGATGTATTCTTCTTCTTTAATCATAATATTCTCTATTCTAACCACTTTCCCCTTGCTTACATGGAGTACCGGGCATTTGTTAAGGTCGAGTGACATTCCTATGTCACTAGTAAATGATGAAACAGCTTGAACCATATTTTGTAACTGTTCTTGAGTTTAAGTGAAAAAAAAACCCTTTACCCTCGACCGTGAACTTATGTCCCTATGTACAACTTATGCTCACCACCTGTAGCAGGGGGTAGGGATGGGAGCTTTCAGTATATTTACCTCCTAAGTATCTCCGACAATATCTCAATGTTTAACAAATCCAACCCAACAATAACATATTCTTCACTCTCCGTGCTCTCTATAACCCCTATGCTAACTGGACGATTTTCTGAGTTAGTCGAATTTGGATCAAGATTGGGAGTTATGAAATGAGGCTAAATACAAGTCTCCTTTTTAAAAATTCAATTATTTACCATTAAATATTAAACATGATTAATTTTAATTTTTAAAACTTTAATATTTTATTTTCCTGTTAGCATTTTTGAATTATTATCTTATAATATGTTTTTAAGTTGCAGTATGGAACTAGAGGTATAATCATTTTATCTAAAAAAGTGCAAGATAAATTTAATTACTTTTGTAATTTATCATATAATTATTTATTCTTTTTAGGTCATCCAGTAAGCAACCGAAAAAAATTCCTACAGAATCTTCATCTGCTGCTACAACAAGGTATTTTCTGTTAATTCAAGTATAACATGTAATAGTTTTTTATTTTTATTGGATTAATTATCTATTTATCATACAAAATTAACTTGCTAGCTTGCTGTATAATGAAATACTTATGGTCCATTTATGAGCATTTGGCATGGTCTTAAAATTAGAAAAAATATGTTTTGAAGACTTAGATTTTACCTCTTTTTGAGTCTGTTTGCTTGTTGAATTATTGAACATTTTATTTGTTTATAGAACTTTGCTTAGTATATTATTAGTATATATTTCTGTTTTAAAGTTTTTTCCTTTCTTTCTTTATAAAAATGTTGATTTTTTTCTATTGCTATTTTTTTTTTTTTTTAGGGGGTTAGTTTTAAATTTGTTTTAACCAACTGCCTCACAGAAAGGCCTCACACGATATTTTGAAAATAGAATTGATCATTTAATATCAACACCGCATCATATAAAGAGAAAGAGTCCAACAGACGCACGATTCTTATGAGTACACTGTCGTCTGGACCAGATTCTTCTCGACTCATATATGAGTCTATTGCCATTGAAGGATTAAGAATGAAAAAAACATTGAATCAAAGTTGTAGAGCATAAAATTCTGCATTTGTTGATTATCTATTTCTGGTTTAGTTTGATTGGGGTAAAGTGTAGTGAGACACTATACTCGATTCTGCTTGTGGTAGGTAATTTTGTATTCTGTTATATCAGCTATGGATCAACCTTAGGATCAGGAAGACACTTCTGGGGCACATCCATCCTCTATAAAGTGAGTTTTCTTAATTCAATAATTAATTAAGGAGAAAAACCTGATGGTTGAGTGTGATCTCTGCCCAATAACCTCCCTGCAGATCTGTTGACCTTGAAACAGTACTGCCTTAAAAAATAATGAACCCAAGATCCTCCACAGATTGTAGTGGTAGTCCACACATTTTTAAAAAAAATCTTTATATTCAAGTAGAATTTTTAAAGTTGATATCCATTTCCAAATGATATTACTCTGTATTGTTTGGAATTTCTGATCTTAGAAGAGGTGTTTGACCAATTATGGCTAGCCATATTGCTATTTAATCTTAAAATTTTATCTATCCTAGTCCCTAAAGTTATGCCCTGACAGTTATTAAACCACCCCTCCATTGCATCTCTATTCTCCCACTCTTCTGTAGCTTAACCTCCAATATCCAGCCAAGGTATAATATTTTCTTACTGTTCCTTCTGAGTTTTCTGTGGTACAAAATTTTTAAGTGGTATTTTTCTGAAGGATTTAGTTTTCTAACTTTTTCTGTAAAGGGAATTCTATATTACTTATATTATTTTTTCATATTGTAGAGGAGCTATGTCTTCATTTAGAGTAATTTAAACATGCTCAATATGGCATCTACATCAGATAGTATATTATTTTCATGTCTAATTCCAGCTAATGTGAGTTTTAATCAACATACAAAACTTTTCAGGCATTATCCTTTGAACATTGGTTTAGTTTTATATTACCATACATTTTGAAATATGTTTATTTGGTTATTATATAGTTCTACATTTGTATTTCTTTATGTCTTTTTTTTTAGTCTTGAAGAGCAGGGCGAAAAAGACCCCCAGCAAATTAGCAACAGGATTTTTTTCACCTGTCCTGAACTTGGTATGTAATTTTTTATCTTGTTTTTATTGTAATAAATATTTTATAGCACCGCCAGTCTTTTGATTCTGGAAGATAGCCAATTTGCTAAGAGAGTTGGCTGTTGTTTGTTGTTTTGAGTAAATTCTTCCTTCCTCTAACATATTATAAGAAGCATCTATTATGAAATTATAATCATTATTTATTTCTATGAAAAAAAATATTTACTTCAATATATCAATTTTGTTCTTTTATGCAACATATTTTAGAGAATTCTTCAGATGATACATTTATTCTAGGTGATATATAGCTAGGACACATTAATTTTTAATGTTTTTATTATGCAATTATACATTTATTCTTTATAAATGTCTTTTTATGGTATTATTTATCATTTAATAAATTTTTATAAATTTTCTTGACCTTTGACTTTCGTAGCCATCAATTTATAGCATTACTAACTCATCTTTAAAATTTCAAGGAATATATTGTCAATTAAGTAGTTGATGTTAGAGGCAGTTAAAAAAACCAAAGTATTTTATTGTAAGAATGTAAGTAAAGTAAATTTTATTATGAGATATTTAGTCCCCTTGGAATAATTATAATGAAAAGAAAAGTTACATTTGTCTGGCATTAGAAGACAATCAAGAAGTAATTATGTAACCCTAAAATTAAAAATAACAGAGCACTAGTAAATATATTAAATTGTAGATAAATATAAAGAAAGAAGAAGAAGAAAAGTAAATTTTATTTTGGGACATTTAGTCCATTACGAATAATTATAATGAACACAGAAAGGTGACATGAGTGTATACATACTCATGGAATGCATGAGTGTGTTCACATATTTGTACAATTAGTCAATATGGATAATATATAAGTATCTGTAGGGTAACAGTAGAATGTTGATGACACGTCTTAACCTGCGAGCAGGCTCATCATTCCTGGTTACATGAGTAGGCCCGCGTTGCATTTTATGTAACACTTAGTTTTTATACAGTATAACAGATATTTTGTTTTATTTAAATTAATAAATTGAATCTTAGTACTTAAAAAAGTTACTCTTTATTAATATTTCAATTATTGTTGTTTTTTATAAATATTAAAAGAGTACAGGTTGACAAAAAAAACCCTGAAATAAGTTCAAACATTTTAAATTTATTGAATACTTAATAGTTAGCCGTTGTATTATTAAGGAAGGAGATGATTTGGGGTGGCAGTCATAAATAGACTAAATAGTGACAAAACTATTTTATTAGATTGGTGTTGTAAAAGTATGGGATCCTTCAAGTTGGTGAAAAGGAAAGAAAGTTTGTTATGGGACTTGAGGCCAAGACATAAGTTGGTTATAGTTGATTTAAGGAATTTTTGTATATTATCTGGAAGAATAGGAATATGGTAGAGAGATTTGTATATGAAAGAAGTGGTAGGTGATTGTGGGGAGTTGAGAGAAGGGGAGGTTATACTCTTTTTGGTTGTATGGCTGTTTAAAAGTTTATGTATAGTGTTGAGAGGGAAATTATTGGAAAGGAGTATATTTTTGACACATTGAGTGTTGACTTCGTGATATTGTGGATCAGATAAAGAGAGAGATCGGTGAATAAGATTTTTGACGTTATTGTTTTGTGTTGGTGGAATTTAAACATTAGTGTTTGGGTTGGGTCATGACGGGAGGTTGATAGATCTGAAAGTAATTGTACTTTGTATGAGTATCCGACCTTCTCCATAATAACATTCGAATTTCCCTTATCAGCCTTAGTAATAATGAGGTGGTCATTTGTTTTGAGGAATGTACATGGTAAGGATAAATCCTTGAAAAACAAGGGAGAGAAAGGGGACGAACGCAATGGAGGGTGTTGAAGGTGGTTGGAAATCATGTTGCTTATCCGAATGCGTGATAACTCTCTCTCCTCTTCGTTAACTCAGAATTGGTTATCTCTTTTATTTTATTTACTTATTAATTTTTTTTTTTTGCTTTTCTTTCTCCACATTTATTTATGTCAATTATTTCATATTGTATCCCTTTTCCTTTTCTTCCAAACTCTCCTGTAGATCTGTAGGAGTATATATTTATTATATATTATACTACAACAATTGTTACCATCTATTTACTTCAGTTTAAGATCTTGTTATTTAGTTTACTCTGTTTATATTTTAATGTACTTACTATTTATAATTTTAATAAGTTTATTCACATTGTTTATAATATTTTGTCTAGATATTATGTAACTTCCACAATTCTCTATATCTTTTGTATCGTATCCTTTCTAATCCTGAAGAAGACTTGCAAAGTCGGGTCGAAACTTTGGTTTTTAATAAAATAGTTTTGCCACTATTTAGTCTATTTATGACCGCCATCCCGGACCACCTCCTTCATTTTAAATTTATTATGAAATAAATGCAATAATGTTAATTAAAGTAATAATAGTTACAATAAAAAACTAATATAGTGCATTTTCATCAAGTCCAAGCAAATCATTTGATTATTGGTTTTCTCTACAATTCTTATCACATTCCAGGCTCGTATTTATTGTCCTAAAAGCTCTTTACTAGAACACTTTTTGTATGTTCCACATGTTATTGTTGGACTAATATATTTTTTCGCCCATATATGTGACTTTTTTTTGGTGGTTTGAAAGCTTGAGGTTCTGGAGATACATATTGTTCTTGGAGAAAAGCTCGTATAGTTGAAGGTAATGAAGGAATTATAAATCTCAGCTGAGGTTTCATGAGGTCCATAGCTAAAACTTTTATAAATATTCCATGCTTTTGGGCATCTTGTATATTTTGCTGGTTATGTAAAATATGGGCATTGATTCCTCTAATGTTCAACATTGTATAATAAGCGCATATTAGCCAACATTTTTTTCTTGATACTGAATAGTTTTTATCATGGAGTCCACAGTGTACCCCTCCCTTCATTTGATTATTATCAAAAAAGAATCTCAATGGGGTTTATGTGCATAACAATATAATTACTTGTACTATTTTTATGATAATAATAATATATAGAATAATGAAAATAATATCAAATAGTAGTTATGTTTTGTACACAGTAATACAGTGAAATCAGGATATCAGGTACACCAGCGGGTGCGTGTTGTATTCTATGTAACAAGCAAACGTTTACCACTGGAAATCAAGTTGACAACTGAATTTGAAAATATTTTCCAAAACAAATTAGATGATCAGGCAACAGAAGGTATTTGCGAAGAATACCTGTGAGTTGAAGGCCTCAGTGTAAAGGGTAAAAGAAACAAATTCTATGAAGATTATGTTCTTATATATGTTCGGTAGATTGATTGCTAAGTGGTGGAAGTTAAATAAATGGTGTTTAAATAAGGTTAAGGAAGAAGATTTTCGTATGCTAAGGAATTCTAAAACAAGGTAGCACGCATGACAAAGGATATTTTAAAGAAAACAGTTCTATTAGAAGGAATAAATAGGTTTTTGGGCTGGCATCTGGTGTTAAACAAATGGACAGAGGAACGAGATGTAAACAAATCAAGAAGGTAAGATGGCTTTTTGGTCGTTAAGACTCAAAAAAGAAATACACCTAGGAAATATCGCCATTGGTAAACTGGAAAGAACCACTTCAACTCAGCATACTAATTGGAGACATGGGAGTGCCTGTGGACTCAAAAGATGAATTTAATGAAACGATTCATTAATCTCTTCAATCTTATCTTAAGTCCACAATCAAGGCAGCCGCGAAGTGGGAAAAAATGAGAGGAAACAAAGAGCTGACGGGTTTTAGTGGGCATAGAATCACAGAATCCCAGGAACTGTTTAATAGATTTTCGTATAATTAGGAAAATATGGTTATTCCAGGAAAGGTATTGATAAAAAATTACCCCAAAGTTTCTAACGGACGTGTGGAAGTGAATAGGTAGTCCATTTAGATAGAGTATGGGATAGTAAGAGATGTGACTAAGAAAATGTTTGAGCCATCTTGAAAGAGGTGTAATCATAAGGATTACGTGTGAGTCTGAAACGCCTTTTAGCAGTGTCTCTTTTCTTTATCAACTTTATTTCAGGATTAATCCAGGGCATCTGAAGGTAGAGGTTTTTAGGAGTGCATGTTGATTCAGGAATAGGAAAAGATTTGAGTAAAGATAATCCACTATTTCATCAATGGAGGAAAGGGAATAAATGGGATCTAAGGATTGTGCTCATGATTCAAGATAAGGATTTAGTTTTTCAGTAGTCAATGAGCCGAGGTCTCACCTTGTAATTTACTTAGAGGTAAACTTGAGAGTCGGAACGTTATGGGAGATCTTAATGAGTTCATTATATGAAAGGAAAGCCATATACTCCAGTACTATAACTGGGTGTGGTGAGTGTTTGTTTTAAAATGGAACGATAAAATGGTTAAGGGAGCAGATTAGGTCTTCTAGGTATGATTTGTCGGGAGAGTCGGAGCATAAATTTGTGTTGAAGTCACCAGTTATTATAACATTATTGTATAAAGAAATTTAATTGAAAAAGGGAAGATTCTAAAGCAGGATTGAATCGAACTTGGGGAGGGCGATGATATAGAGAAAAAAAAAAGATTCTGAGGAAATTTTTGTAAATAAATACTCTAAATAGGGAATGTCAGGAGACGAAGACTTGTGAAGGATTTTTACCCTCAGGTTTTCATGAATATAAAGACCAACATCCCAATCAGTTCGGTCCATTCGATCATGACTAATCGGGGCATAGTTAGAGATGGATATAGAGGAGGAGGGAACATTTTATTTGTTTGATTCAGGTTTTTAAAACTTGAAAATAATATGTATAATAGCAATATATATATAAATGAATGTCAGTCCTTTATGCATTACTAAATCATTCATCCGATCGCCATGAAACTTTGGCAAGTTGTTGTATACACTCCTGTGAAGGTTTCTGTCATAGTACTTCTGTCTTACGATAATTTTATATGTGTAAAAATATAAATGTTTTTTAGTTCAAAGCCGCTATTCTCCGAAAGTTCTTCACTGATTGCTTTGAAATTTTTACACAGTTTTTCAGGAGTGTTTTTTGAACATTTTATTACCATCCGGCCTTTCGTTTCAAAATGGCGGCCGAAAAACGTGTTGCTATAAACTGTAGTGCCAAAACGGCTGTAACAATTTTAATGGAAACTTGGCTAAGCTCTTCCCCTTGAAACCCTTTTAATTTATGTATATAACATAATTTTCTGAAAACAAGCTACAAAAAATGTTAAGATGAATTCAGAATTTTATTTGTGAAAAACTAAAAAAGTAAACATATTTTGATTGATAATACCCATATTTATTTGAAAGCTTCCTGAATTCCCTACAAAATAAAATAAAAAAATCATTGTAATCCAACCATTCGTTACAGAGTTTTATGGTTTTAAACATTTACTACTTTCTCTTCAGCAAAGGCCATTTAAAATAATCAACACAAAGTTGAACATTAAACAATATATTAAATATAAAAAAATTAATAATAAAATTAAAGATGAAAATATATAAGTGGCTTCATATCAAAGACGGATCTCTGTCATTTTCAGAAAGCGGAGAAAGTCAATTTTAGTTTTATAAGTACAACTCACACTGTTTCTGATGATTAAGAATGACGGCGTATTCACTCTGATGATTAAGAATGTTCAAGTTGAATCATGAAAAAAAAATCATTAGAATTAGTTTAAATTGAAGCTATGTTACATAAAAATTTGTTTCTCAACTTTTTAAAAATTACAGATGTCCTTTGGTATTAATCCACTCATATGTACTTTCTATTTTCTTTCTTTTCCATTTTGCCAGACTGAGCCACAGCAGCGCGTGGCCGGGTAAAGCTAGTAATAAGATTAATTATAGAGAAAATAAAACCAAGGAACTCATCAAAGTGGGCCAAAAGGGATTGGGAGTTAATGTTATAAAGGCATGTTAATAGGATATTAGTCATATAAGGATTAAGAAGGATGTGTTTCACTGAAAGGGGAATAAAAGAGACAATCATAATTATGCGAATTTAAGTTTCCTCAGACAATGAAAATGTGCTCGTGTATTCGTATTCGTGTTCCCCCAGATCAGTGTGCATTGGCATCTATGATGGTGTCACTGCAGCTTAGGATTCCCTCAATTCCTTCTGCAGGTTCTTGATATTTATATGGCATGTGTCCCGCCACTATGATGATAGATTTGCCATTCCCTTGCTGGGTGTATTTGGCTAAGTGGAACATAAGGAGTTTGAATTCAGCAGGTGGGTTAAAATCAGTCGTGAACGAGGTTAATGGGTACAATTTGGATATCATTGCTTTGCAAGAGGTTTGCTGGCCAGGGGAGGGCTCGCTCGATAAGGGAAGGAAAGTACACCATTTGGTACAGTGAAAGTAGGAATCATTGTTTAGATACTGGGTTTCTAATTAGGATTTCGATTGCTATCCACTTTGAGGGATGTACAATTCTTTAGTGACAGAATTTTGGTAGCCATATTTCAAGAACGTTGGTTTAAAATCGCATTAAGTAATTAATAAACATGCATTGTCCGACAGAAGACAAAGATTATGAAGTCAAATGCGAATTTTATGATATACTAGAATGGGTTTATGATAAGCTACTACAACTACAGCTACTACAACACCATGAAAATAATTGTAGGTGACGCAAACCCATAGGTGGGAAGGGAAGTTTATTTTGGTACTATATTTATTTTGCATGAATATAGTAATGATAATGGGATCAATCTGATAAACTTTGCCATCTCGAAAAACCTGATAATTAAAAGTACTATGTTTAAACATAAGGATATTCATAAATTACCTGTATATCACCGGATTCGCAAACTCAAAATCAAATCGATCATGTCTTCACACAACATAGCTGGCAAAGCAGTATAATTAATGTATAGTCTTATCGCAGATTAAAAAAATTCAATTTGAGCTAGATGTTAAGAATAGGTTTGAAGCTTTAGAACCTTCTGATGAGGACCACAATGATATAGACAAGTTATGGGTAGAGTATCATGTGGAACATGCCAGAAGATTTCTTGTAAAGAGCATTTTAGAACAATGTACAAATTCATGCATACTTAAAATATGATCAAAAATTTAAAGATGATTTTTTTGGACTATGTACTGTAATATAATATAACTACGGGAAGATCACTTCGTACTGTAGGGATAATTCCAATAGAAATAAAATAAAATAATTAAAAAACAAAATTTTAAGAATATCAATACATTAGACTGAAATTTATAATTATTTTATCTCCAGGGATGGGTGGGTACTGGCAATCAGATCAAAAGACTCAGACAGACAAAAATTATTTACACTTAACACTGTTTGATTTTGAAATAAAATCAAGTTATGAATTGGTAAGCTAACCTTTTTTTCTATAAACTCCGTTTCTTCCTTTCTGTCACTGAATTAATTTTTCTTCAAACACTTTCCAATAGTCTGCCAAACACATCTTCCAAAATGTTACTGTTACTGAGTTTTATTCAGTGGAGTCAGGATCCCTTCTCACCTCCTTTCTTCATCACATCCAAACAACAACTGGCAGCCAAAACAAAAATCCTTTGTTCCTCCCCTAGCAGCCATCTTCCTCTTTGTGGAAACTCCAGAGCAGCCATTTTCTTTTCCCTGAACTAGTGAAACTATTTTTCAAATTTAATCATCCCCTGACATTAGCAGAACTAGATTAGCTTGCCTTATAACTGACTCTTCAGCATTAATTTACTAAACCTACTACTTCCAGTAATTTACTTCCAACTTCCAGGAAATGTGTATATTACAGTATGTATACATACAGTACATTACATATGTTTACATTATTATTGTATGTATTTCATAATAAATTTAAAATACTTGTATTTATTTCAGTTTTTTTAAACCTAACCCTTCTCATTTAATGTTTATTAAAAACACAACAATAATCCTAATATTAATGAAAAGTAACATTTTTTAAATATTAAGATTTAATTTATTAATTTTAATAGAAAATATATTCGTTCAACTGTAGAAAAAATGTGTGTTGCATTGAATGGTGTGTCTTCCTGCGGGTTAAATAAGAATTTTCATTCCAATCGAAAGATGAAAATTTTTTTTCTTAATATTTATCCTTCTATTTTTAATTTTAATGAAATATATAGTTTATAGCTTTTTTTAAAAATAATATACATGCTAAAAGAAACAAAATATTCAGATTTTTTTTTTTTATGATTGCAATGAAGATTCTCTTCATGTTTTGATGCTTTTAACATGTATAATAAATCCTTCACTTTTTTTGTGAAGATCACAGAAGTTGTAATAATTTTAACTTAACTCCACCTATCCACACAAAAGTAAATTATATCCCAGTAAATAAATTAGAACTGGAGATATAAAATAAAAACCTTTGAGTTTTTCTTAATTTATTGCTTATTTTGGCATAAAATCTAAAAGTTATTGCAGCTTTTAGTTTTAACCCCTTTTGGTTTTTGTAATTTGTTTAATCCAATCGGCAATATGTTTTTCTTATTTTACTAAAATAAAAAATTTGATTGATACATTAAATTGCAAAGCAATAGCATGTATCAAGTAATAGCATTTTAATGATACATTAAAAGCAATAGCTGAAAACAATAATATAAAAAAATGTTATAATTTTATAAAATATTTTTTTCTTAACTTCTAGACTTACATTGGCACGAACACCTCAGACATTAGTCTAATATTTTTCAATCTAGTATCACCAAAAAAAGTTTCATTGAAATCAGTGACCCCGCATCCCTAACCTCCCATTGTCAGATTTGTTGTTTGTTGAATTTTTTTTATTCTTTGATGATTTACTAACTTATAGTGCTCACAGCGAATCGATAAAGCTAAAAAAGTATTCAAAATGATATATTGAATATTTGATGATTGAGGTTTGTATAATGAGGAATAAGATAGCTTAAAGTGGAGGTCATAAAATAACTTAAAATAGTTTCCACTATTGTAAGACCACCCTCTTCACCTCCCCAAAAACGATAATCTTAAATTAATTAAATTTAAACAATGTTTTAAATGTAGTTGTTAGTCTTATCTGATATAACTATTTTTAGTTTTTTCAAAATATACTTTGTACATTTAATATTCTAAGCCATTTTAATACTTTTAAACTGTCTCAACTTATTCAATTGATGTTATCAATAATGCTTTTATGATTATAATTCTTTTGCAGATGATGGTGTGTACCCTATGAAAGTTTGGATGGAAAAGGCTCGATCTTATATCCAAGATAAAAAGACAACAGATAGAGTTGAAGCTGCAATACTTGCAATAAAAACTCTAAATCCTGAGAATGAAGTAAATCTTGTTGATATTAACTTCATTTATCAATATTGTACAGACACAAAGTATACTGTAAAATATTCTGAAGTCCTAAGTAGAGATCGCAGAGAGATTTTTTTTTATATGCAAGATAAAAAAAAAAAAAATAATAAAAATTAAATGGGTCAAACTCTACAATCTCAATAAAATAAGTTCGTAAGGCCGATATATCAGTCTGCTCAATTTTATGTTTATGTCAATCTCTTGACGATTGATTAACACATTTATTCATAAATTGTCTATTTATTCTTTTATATAGCAATAAGTAGGATATTCCATGTGAAACTGTACAAATTATGTCAAAAAGGCCGATATTGCGAAAAAACCTCTATAGTTAAATATAAAATATGAAAGAATTTGATTATTAACTAAAGGAGAAATAAGAGATCGTAACAGATAATAGTTGTACTAGAGGAATCAAAGGAATATGAACTTGCCCGAGCTCGCCTGAAAGATTACAACAGGCTTCCATACATAGCATAAGCTTCATATAATACGGACTCCGACAATATTATGTTCATATATACGGTTTTCATAAATGCTGTCGTTATTATTTAATATTTAATTGTATAGAATACAGTGATATAAAAATTAAAATTTGTTTATATAAGGGTATTTAATAAAAGTATCCACAATGAATTGTAAATAATTATAGCGTCAATAATTTTTACTTTCACTTCTCCTTTGTATGAAAATAATTATTTCTGCCAAGAACAGGGTGGTAAGTGAAAGTTGTGTGATGCGCGCACCAGATTTTTATTTTTAATTAACTATCATTTTGTAAATTCTTAATGATGTATGGCCACACTGGTATTTATTATAATAATAATAATTTATCTAAAGGGGCAATATTCTCAGAATAATAATATAAATATTTTCATTTTCAGTTTCCTAAATAAAACATGTAGTAAATGCAAAAATATAAGACCTTTTGCAAGGTAAACACCCCTTTTGATACTCCATTTCTTGTACTATTTATAAAATATTTAATTGAACCAATTAATAAAAAAACACTTAAGGATGGTTAGAATACAAGGTTAAAGATCATTTTTCAGTTTTAAACGTTTCTGTTCTAGGTTCAGTTTGCTATGAAGGTTCTTCAGAAATATGTTGCGAATTTAATTAACCACCCCGATGAAGAAAAGTACAAAGTTATTAGACTAGGAAATCCTAATATACAAAAGTTAATGTCCATAAATGGTGCAGTGGACTTTTTGTTAGCTATCGGTTTTGATTACAAAAATGTTAGCTTTGATGATGAAAATGAGCACAAAGAAGAAACTTACTTTGTACACATCACCCGTGAAGATTTGGATCTTAATGTAAGTAACATATGTGATCATATTGGACAATTTGGTAATTTATATATTGATTTCTATTTTCTTGACTTTAACAATTTATCTTTTCTGATGATCTTAAAGCTTCTTTTCTTATACTACATTTGACTCCAGAGAAGAGTCCAGCCCAGAGTACTTGAACACCTTGGGTACTAGCAACATGCCCTAATGATGACCCACATGCTTGTGTTGGAACGTCGGCTTATAAAAATCTTAAAATTACTGCTTCCTGACTATTTATCACCTGATATGTAGAACATTCGACTAAATTCCTTCAATAAATCAGTAATGACTTATTCAATTTGAAACAGAAATAAACTGCCTGCCTACCTACTGATTCCAATAATACTTTTTGATTTGGTCAATTGCTCACACCAACTGTGTGTATATAACCTGCCTTACACAAATTTTCACTACACATTCCTTACATTACTTCCCCCCAATGACATCGGCACAGAACCTAACCTTCGGTTTCACTGCACGCCTAGAGTGGGATAGACTCCTTGTGGTGAAGGCTGCTCTGAGTTGAGGTCATTTGAAGGGTTGGTTGCAACTGCTGCGGGCGTAGTGGGTCGATCCCTGTTGCTGCTGTCTTCAGTCATTTCTGGGAGAAGTCCTGATGGCAACTGCACCCGAAACGTTTTATCGTCCCGTGATATGACTTTTTAGGGACCGGTGTAAGGCGGAGTTAAAGGCTTCCTGAAGGCCCATAGAAACACATGGCTGCATTCCTTTGAGTCCCGGTGGATGAAGGTTTTCGTCGAGCTGCTGCGGTGTGGTGCCGGTCGGGGAATCTTCATTGTGTTTTTGAAGGGTCTTGAGCATCATTTCCGTGTCTTCCCGACATCAGGATGATTCGAATACCTCTCCTTGAAGGTGAAGAAGGCATTGTGCCAAATTTTATTCGTAAAGTATCTTGGATAAAAACTGTTGTCTAAAATTTTGAATATCCGTTGTTTCATGTCTTTTAAAAAAATATAATGAGTACGTTTAGTGAATTCATTTATTTTATTTGAGGTTTTTATTTATTTATTTATTTTAAATGATATTTACAACTGTATACAAATAAATACATCTAGTAAATTTGCACATTGGTATAAAGACATGGAACACATGTTGAGAAACTACCCATTGGTAGCACTCTAATAATATGTCTATATTAGAAGATCACTTGGCCATCTTCTTTTCAGACGCCTCGGAGGGTTATCAGGAATCGAATAGAAAGCAAGGTTAGAGACAAGAGGGTTGGGATGGTTATGAAGTTTATTATGGAAGGACAGATATCTGGATTGGGCCAAATCTGATACATAAGGAACATTAAGGTCATTATGGATAATTTTATTTGTAACAAAGTAAGGAGCATTGAGGATTTTACGAAGGATTTTGGATTGCAAGGACTGTTTGCGAGAGGAATTTGAAGGCTTGGTGGAGCCCCATAGCTCAACCCCGTAAGTCCAAATAGGCCTTATTATAGTCATGTAAATCAGTCTTTTATAATTGATTGGAAGGTTAGAGCGTTTGTCTAGTAAGTGTTGAAGTAGTCGGAAACGTCGAGCGGTTTCTTGTCGTTTCAGTCTGGTATGAGGATTCCAAGTTAGACGTTTGTCCATATGGAGTCCTAGGTAACGAATTTGTTCAACAGGAATAAGTGAGGTGTTGTTAAAGGATACTGAAGGACAGGAAGTCATTGGTTTACTTATTTGAGGTTACATTAAGAATTTGTAATTTTGGGTGGTTTGAATACAAATTTAAATTGTATTCTCCTGCTATTGGTTTTTGGTACCATTTTATAACCTGTTTGTCTTCATTTGGAGCTCTTGTCATATCTAGGAAGTTTATTCTATTATCCATTTCAATCTCCGAGTTGAATTAGAGTTTACTATATATATTATTTAGTTTATCTAATAATTTAGGATGTGGGTGTTCCTCTGTTTACTTCCACTTATCTCCTATATATGTAATATATAGTAAGGGTAAGTATTGCAATCGTGAAAATTTTCAAATCTGAGTTTTCAACAGAAGTTCCTGACTCCAAACAACCAAGTCCTGCAAAATCGTCTGTGTGTGTGTGTTAGCGTGAACAGCCTAGCTCAAAAACAAAAAGCCGTATGAAACTGAAATAGCGTATTTGAGGATTTTATAATTCTTGGATTTTACAGCAACATTTTCGTTGAAATCGGCAAACTGGAATTGGTACTTTATATAATCGATTCAACACATTTTTACAATTTTCTTTATAATGGCTCGATAAACGATTTTGATTAAACTGAATATATCAGTGTATTATTAAACAGGTTTTAATATAATGTAGGTTTTATTCTCATTGATATTCTCTAACAGGGCTTAAATGGCTAATTTTCAATATTAGCTTTCTCTAAACTACCATTATTTTTTTTTTTAATTTGAAATAATTAACCATTTCACATTAATCTTTGATACGAAAAATAGTTAAATAAAAAATAATGAAGAATTTAATAATTAATGAAAGGAGATATAAGCGATCGTTACTGATAACAGTTGTAATGGTAGAACCAAAGGAATATGAGCACGACCAAGTTCACCTGAGCTCGCCCTAAAGAGTACAACAGGCTTCCATAACTAACATGATCTTAATATAGTACGGACTCCGACAATATTATGTATATATACATATGTGATTTTCATAAATGCTATCGTTGGTATTATTTAATATTTAATTGTATAGAATACAACGATAAAAAATTAAAATTTGTCTATATAAGGGTATTTAAACAAATAAAAATACCTACAACGAAACGTAAAGAAATATAGCATCTATAATTTTTCCTTTCACTTCCCCTTTGTCTGAAATTACTTATTTATGCTAAGAAGAGGGTGGGTGGTAAGTGAATGTCACTTGATGCGTGTACTAGATTTTTTAGTGATTAAAAATACGTCATTGACATATTATTCTTACTAGTTATTGGAGGTAGTTAGTCGACCGTTCTACTTATCATGGGTGATAAATATTCAGGACGCAGTCATTATAAAGTTTTTATTAGTGCCGACATTTCAACCCAAACATGTGGATCATCATCAGGGCGTATTTTGAGCACTGAAGGTATTCAAGTACTGAATACCTTCAGTGCTCGAAATACGCCCTGATGATGACCCACATGTTTGATTTGAAACATCGGGACTAATAAAAACTTTATGACTGCGTCCTGAATATTTATCATCCATACTTTTTACTAGTGTTCGTCCAGTGGTCGAAATTCAACCATAATCATTTCATTTGGAATGCGATCCCTCCTAGTTTTGCCCACTGATCTACGTAGGAATCGCATTTCCGCTGCTGTTATGCGACTATAATGTTTGTCCAACATGGTCCAACTTTCTCCGCTGTAGGTGAGAATAGGAAGGTATACAGACTTATAGACGTGCATCTTAGTATTTTTATCCACTTCATCACGGCAGCTGAGGATACTGCTAGCGATCTGGTGATATACTTGATTCGCCTTAGATATTCTATATGAAATCTCAGCATCTATCTTACCAACGTCCAGCATTAGTAATTATGGTACCTAATTATGTGTACTCCTTTACTACCTCAAGAATCTCTCCGTTGCAAACTAATTGGATGCCTTCCTCTTCTTCTCTCGCCATAATCATCACTTTACTTTTGGAGGCATTTATTTGCATACCTTTCCTCAGCAGCTGTTCTTCCCATTCTACCAGTGCTTGCTGTAGTTTCATCTTGGAATCGGCGATGAGCAGTGTCATCTGCTTATAAAAAGCTCTGTAAGAGGACAGTTCTCATATTCCAGTTTCCAATTGTAGTCCATGCAGTCCAACGCTTGCAGATTTTATGGATCTCGTCCATAAAGTTTATAAACAGGAGGGGCCTTAAACTATCTCCCTGTGTGACTCCTCTCGCAATTGGGAAAGGTTCTGATTATGTGCCATTTATCCTTACCACTCCAGTGGCTCTCTGGTAGGTTGATTTCATGGCCTCAATCAAATCTCCAGGCATGCTCTTGGCAACCAAAGCATTCCAAATTTCTTTCCTAGGAACTGAATCAAACGCTGCCCTTAGATCAACAAATGCCAGGTTTTTGTTTCTGTCCCAGGCCTTTTCAGCGATGGTTCTAAGAACAAAGATATGGCCCTGAGTCTGTTGGCCAGGACGAAAATCAGCCTGTTCACTTTCCAGCTGTCCCTCCACAATCCGCCGAAGCCTCTTTTCTAATATAGATGTATTAATTTATAGACCACAGAGAGCAGACTGATGGGTCTATTGTTATTGCAGTCCGTTGAACTGCCTTTTTTATGAATTGGAAGGATTATGCTATATTCCCAATCCTTGGGAATTTTCTTTCTATCATATACTTCCTGGAAGAGCTTTTGAAGGACTTTAAGGAGTTCATTTCAAACATTCTGGGGCGATACCATCCCTTCCTGGTGCCTTTCCTGCTTTTAGAGTCTGGATTGCCTCTTCTATTACCTCTAGGCTTTCTAGAGTAGAGTGCTCTCATTCTTGGCAGTAACGTATTCCTGGATTTTCGGAGAATTGTTCCTGAAAATGTTGTTTCCATCTGTTCAGGATCTCTTCCTTGTTGGTAAGCAGGGATCCATCTCTATCCTTTACATTTCTGACGGGCTTGTTTTTCTTTCCTCTTAAAAATTTAATTTTTTGCCAAAAAGTTCTTATGGATTCCTGATGGTCTTCACTCAGTTTTTTACCGAAACAGTATTTTGAGCACTGAAGGTATTCAAGTACTGAATACCTTCAGTGCTCGAAACAGGCCCTGATGATGACCTACATGTTTGAGTTGAAACGTCGGAATTAATAAAAACTTTATGACTGCGTCCTGAATATTTATCATCCATATTTTTACTAGTGTTGGCCCAGTAGTCGAAATTCAACCGTAAATCATTAAAAATTTGAGGAAAACATATAATTAAATAAAAAATAAATTCATTAAATAAAGAGTAAATTGCAATTCAAAAATCCTCATTTATTATTAATAACAAAATTTCAATTTCAATTAAAAATCGGGCTTAAACTACTTAAAATTATTTATTACTAATACAAAGTAGACTCATTCAAAAATATTTAATTTCAATTTTAATTTATGTGTGTTATTATCACAATATATTTATGTTATGATTAAGCAAGTAAAACATAAATTTAAATTAGCAATTTCAATTCAGTTTAAATAAATTTTTATATAGAACTTCTCTGTAAACAATGTTCTTTTTGAATATTCTGTTACTTTTTAGTATATAGCCTTGTCCATTTTCATTGGGAATATAAATTTCAAAATTTTAAACGAATGTGCTTTACTTGCTGCCACATATAATTGTCTATGCCAAATTACTGGACGTCGCAATATTACTCAAAGTTTTCCAAAACTTTGACCCTGCGATTTGATTATAGTCATAGCAAATGCAGCTATTAATACGAACGTTGTTCTTTGAAATTCAAATGAAAATATTGTCTTAGAAATTGTTAAATTAATTCTTGGAATTAAATTTTTTTCCATTAATTAAAGATACCAAACCACTCTATTAGAATCTTTTTACCTGCTTTTCATTAAAAAACTCATAACTCTTCATGATGTTCTCCTAATTCAATGTTTATATGACTGTTGGAAAGCTGAGTTGTTGCTCTTTAAACCTATATAAACAACTTTTATATTTAACGCCCTCATAATGAATAAATAAAGAAAAACTCTAAACACTTTTTTTTTTTTTATCTCCAAGCCTAAGTTATTTACAGACCTCTGGTTTGTGCCATTTTGTGTATATTATAGGGCCCTAAATGCAAGTCAATTTTCGTGTAGATAAGTAGAGCCATGTCTAAGTTATGACAACTTCTGTGATTTTTAGAAAAAAATTGAATTTATTTTTTTTTTGTTGGGAAATATTCAGGAAGCTTTCAAATAAATATTGGTATTATCATTAAAAAAAATGTGCACTTTTTGAGTTATTCACAAATAAAGTACTGAATTCATCATAAAAATGTATGCAGCTTGTTTTTGGGAATGGTGCTACAGTCTATAGTGAATCATGTTATTCGGCCACCATTGTCGGAAAGGTCTGATGATAATAAAACGTATTCAAAAACACTCCTAAATCTTATTCGACTCATCAAAATTTCAAAGAAACTGGTGAAGATCTTTCGGAGATCTGCTGTTTTAATCAAACTACCATTTATATTTTTATTTACATACACTATTTCATATTTTTATTTATTGATAATACTAAATCTCATCAATAGCTATTAAACAAGAGAAGGAAGAAAATCGGTCGAATAATAGTGGAGAAAAAAGGGCTGAACCATTTTGTGTTTGCCTATTTATATGATAATGAGCAATTATATGATTCAAATCTATACCCAGTAGATTAATGGACAAACTCAGTCCGATCAGTAATACAAAAATTTGATGGTACAGTTGATTTTGATACTATAAGTAGCCATTTTCGGTACATAATTGTGTGCCTTCTAGAAACAGGCACTTGCTTTTTATGAGTGTATCATATCCCAGTTTTCAGAAATAATCTTGTATACTAATTTCATGGTGTATTTGTGTATAAGGGAGTAACGTCATAACTAAACATGGTGTATTCATTACTAACATATTTATTGTCATTGATTATATTTTAAAGTTCCATAGCATTTTTAATGCCATATCTGTTATCATTATTAAAATTATCCAGGCTATGGTTGAGAAATTTTGATAAAAAGTATTTAGGATATAATAAAAGGTTTTGGCTATGTATTTATATATGTATTTCACCATTTTTTTTTCTTCACTGGCAATGTTTCAGCTATATCGCCATTTTCATGCCATATGTAAGACTTAATTATAAATTAGTTACAAGATCTGCATTGATCATAATGGCATTGCATAAATTATATCCCAAATGGGATTGTGTCAATAATTAAATTACATATTATTTTTTGAAAAAAATTGAATAAGAATATTCTATTAATAAAACACAATTATAGGTGTTAGGCAAAGTCAATCAGATAATGGTCCTTGGTGAATTCCAAGTTTTTTACTTAAAATAATGATGCTTGTTACATTGTTGTGTCTAACATGTTAAATATATTGTCCAATTAATTTAACAATGCATTAATTTAATTTAACATTAATTTATTAATGCAATTAATAAATTGCATTATTATATCTGCGGGAGTATGTAGTTAGGAGGTTATATGTTGTTATATTATTATTTCTTTCATATACTATTAAGGATTTTTGCATGAACTATTAAAGATATTGTTCAATTGAAATTCAAATTTTTTGATAATATTTGCATATTACAGTTGAACCCATTTGTCTCTGTTTGAAAATTATATAATGTTTCTAAATTTTTAGTAATATTAATTAATTCTAAAACTCTGCATTTGTAGCCCTTTTTTTTCACTTCTTATTATTTTAGTATTATTGAAGTCAAAAGTGTGTTTCAGTTGGTTGTTGTGTGTTGCACTGATGTCCATCTCCCCCATGGTCGATGGTGCAAAAACCTACTCTCCCCCACCCAAGAAATTTTATTGCTCACCTTTTCTTAAAACAGAAGAGAGAAAAATAGAATTTCCAAAAATCATAGATCATACACAATTGCTCTTTCTGTAGCCTGTTCCATGTTTCCTCATTGAAATGTGCCCCCTCAAAAATTCCAAAATCTGTCAAAATTTGGTCCCATCAAAATTATTTATGGCGCAAAACCCCCTTCTGGACACCCTTGGTGTGTTGAAAGTATTACAAAATTGCTTGAAAGTATTAAAATGTGCTAGTGATACTTTCAACATAATGTTCAATGTAGATTTTGTAAAAAATTAATTGATTATTAAGTTTAAGTTGATTATTATAGATGGCTTGAAAATGATGATATAGCTGTAATGTTGCCGGTGTAGAAAAGAAAAACTAAAAAAATGTTGGAATACACGTATTGTAAAAATTGTCTTTTATTATTTCTTAATACTTAAATTAAATAAATGTTATTCATGTTACACATTTACCACTTTTAATCTCTCATTCTTTATTTTATTTTTCCTGAGTATAATTTGTAAACCAGGTATTTCCCTGTATTATTTTAGTCATAAAACTTACAAATCCTCTTCTAACGCTCTGAAATAACCATTGCTTTCTTTTCAGTTGTAGGAAGTTCTAAAATAGTAACTTTGATTTTTTGCCTTACAAACTGCTGAATTAACATAGTTTATCATCAACTGGCACTGTTATGCCCAACCTTACATGATAAGAGTGCCCTTGCACAGCTTTAAAAATTAATAATATTAATTTTAATGATTTTTTCCCTTTTTTTAGAGTGTTTTAGGATCACTTGAATCTGTGAAAGGCCTGAGTTTTGTGTTGGATAGAAATGTGAAGATTTTCGTACCAGGTGCTGGTGGGTTAGATGAAGAACCCGATGAATTTTACGAGTGGACAGTTTACGATATGAAAAAGGAAAGCAAATACAGGTTTGTAAAATTTTGTAGACTAATATTTTGGTAGAAAATCAATATCAATCACTCTGATATCATGAAATATCTAAACTCTGTATTTTGTACTTATGAAAATGTCTTAAAGAAATATTTGTTTTCTTATATAGCTCCAAAAGAGGCTGAAAGTAATAATAGAAATATTAATAGAAAAATCCAAACTGTAGTAGCTATTTCCAGTAATTCAGAGTGATTAAAGTTGTGCAAAAAGCACAAAACTTGAAAGAAAGCCATAATTTGGCATATCTAGTTCGTACAGTACACACACACTCATTACTATTACCTGCAATATAATATATTTTTTCTTTTATAGAAAGAATGAATCAGAAAGAAATAAAGAGTTGAGAACAAGGAAAATGAGGGGTGAACCCAAAATTAAACCACAAGCTGAATATACCTTTATTAGGGTTAGACTCCCAGAAGGAACTATACTCCAAGTAATTATTACTTATAAGATAATAAATTAATTTCTGTCAACTATTTAGAAAAATGCTTTGAAAAAATCAGAGTATTTATTTCTCTTTCATTAGATTTTCAGGTTTATTTGATCTTAATGAAAGTTAAATGATCATTTCTTGTAAATATTTGAAATCCTAAATACTTTTGTAGGTCAAAAAACTATTTTAGGCTGTATAACTAAATAAATATTAGTCTAATATTACTTACCATCTATGGGCTTTAAATTTTTTTTTTTCAATGTTCATTTCAGAAATTTTATTGCTAAGACTTTTTAAACAAGTAAATTCTATAGTGGTTATTTTAATTAAAGAGTTGACTTATTTTAGTAATCTTTCACATCTAGTTTATAATTTTTTGTTTTAATACATTCATATTCTATCATTTTTATTTCTATTTCTCTTCGATATCTAATATACCCTAGTATTGAGTGAGTCCAAGAATAAGTTTGATCATTGACCAAGACCATTAAAGTATTCTTACTCCTATGTAGTCTCCCTTTTATCTAGTTATGAGTAATCATCCTCTTTATTATTAGACTCAATTCTCATTATTCCATCGACATGCTGATTTTTTTTTTTATTATTCCCATTTTTTATTCCATGTTGATTTCATACATTTGTGTGATACTTTAGATCAATATTTAATTGTCCAAGCAACAAACGCAACCAAGAAACACGGTGATTGAAAAAAAAAATGAAATTGATACAGTTGTTGAAAAAAAAAATGAAAGTTGATACAGAATTTACATAGCATTATAGTATGTGTCAGTAAATCATAAAAATAAATTATTATGTGAGGTGACTGGTTTCAAAACCAGATCAATCCATTTTCACAAAGTGCTCTATATGAACTCAGGAAAACCTATGAATTTACTTACTTACTTTTTTACAAACATACTTTTATACTAAATTGAAACCACGGTTTGAAATAGATAATTATAAAAATCAAAATCAAATATGGTCAACATTTTCAAAAATCATTTGATGGTTTTTATTAAGAGGGATTATTTTTGATCATAAGTGATAAAAATCGTGTTGGCTCTATCTTCTGCTGCAGCTCTCCAATTCCGCACACCAAGCAGGGTTCTCGCATCATAGGCCACGTTGTCCAACCATCTCGTCCTCGGCCTTCCTACCCGTCTTACGAGGTGCAGCTCCTCCATCATTATTTTTTTTGGTATTTCAAGGGTGCTCATTCTGGCCACATGCCCTGCCCACCTTAGTCTGGCCAGTTTAATATACGTGACTACGTCGATGTCTGCATAGAGAGAACTGAGCTCCCTATTTTTTCTTTTCCTCCAGACATCACCCTCCTTTACTGGACCATAAATCCTTCTGAGGACTCCTCGCTCAAAGACACTCAGCTTCATCTCATCCCTTTTGGTCATCGTCCAAGCCTCTGAGCCATATGTCAAAACAGGCCGAACAAGGGTCTTGTATATGATCAGCTTGGTCTTCTTTGAGAGGTACCTACTTCTTAAGTGTCGGCCAAGTCCAAAGACACATCTATTGGCAGCCGTGATCCTTCTTTGTATTTCTTGAGCCATGTCATTCTTGCTATTGATTTCAGACCCAAGGTATATGAAACTTTTCACTCTCTCAAACTTAAAAGAACCTACCTCAAATGGAGAGTTCAGATCAACCTCACCGCCAACTCTCATATACTTAGTTTTCCTCTCGTTGACTTCTAGACCAAGTGGTCTTGCAGCTGCTTCAAGGCTTATAAACGCTTCTCTGAGAGCCCGTTCAGACCTACCTACTATGTCAATATCATCAGCAAAACCAAGAAGCTGTGTCAGGCGATTGAAGATTATATCTTTGGTCTGAATACCGGAGTCTCTTACAGCTTTCTCCTCTGCCAAATTGAACAATAGACAGGCGAGGGCATCCCCTTGCCTAACCCCACTGCTCACTTTAAACTCTTCGGAGTCGTCAGAACCGACGCGTATTCTGCATCTCGAGCTGTCCATGGTCATCTTGATTAGGCGTACGAGCTTCTGAGGGATGCTTAGCTCCTCCAAGGCACAGTATAGTTGCGTTCTATCAACGCTGTCGTATGCTGCTTTAAAGTCCAGGAATAAATGGTGGGTGACTACCTTACGCTCCATAGTCTTTTCTAGGATCATCCTCAGAGAGAACAGTTGATCAGTCGTTGAGCGTCCTCTTCGAAATCCAGCCTGATATTTCCCCAGTTCCTTTTCAGAATACGGGAGGATCCTCTCAAAAAGAATGTTAGAGAGCAGCTTATAAGCACACGAAAGGAGTGAGATTCCTCGATAGTTAGCGCATTCTGTTTGATCTCCTTTCTTATGTATTGGGCAGATAATGGCTGTTGCCCATTCCGTAGGCATAGCTTCCTTCTCCCAGATGGTCAGCATTAAATCATGCAGAGCTTTCTTGAGTTCTTCACCTCCACATTTCAACAGCTCTGACTGGATTCCGTCCGGGCCTGGCGCCTTTCCATTTTTCAATTTCCTTAGGGCGTTTTCCATTTCCTCCTCATCCGGGGGTTCAATAGAATTCAGGGAGTCTTCCTTCATTACACCTACTTCTCCAGGCACCGTTCCTCTGTTTAATGCGCCTTTGAAATGTTGTACCCATCTCCTTAGTACGTCATCTTTGTGGCTTAAAAGAGTTCCATTTGTGTCTTTGCATGCCGTCACTCTGGGCCTAAAAGCTGCCCTACCCTCGTTTATTCTCTGAAAGAACAGGCGACTTTCATTTTGGCCTCGCAATGCCTCTGTGTCCTCCATGTTCTTATTTTCCCAAGCTCTTCTCTTTCCGCGGAATAATCTCTTCTCTTCGCGTCTTTTTCTTCTATATGTTTCTTGGGAGAGCCTTGTGGGACGCTGAACCTTCTTTCTGTAGGCTTCATTTTTCACTTTTACTGCTTGAAGGCACTCAGCATCAAACCATGGGGGCCTTCTAGATTTAGTCTCGTAGCCAAGAGCTTCTTCTGCTGCCTGTTTCATTGCGTTGCTGCATCTCTTCCACTGTTCATCGACCATAGAGCTGTCATTAATTACTTCTTCGTTAAGTTTCGTCTCCACAGCTTGTTGATACGAATATTGGTGGTCTGAGTCCTTAAGTTTAACCACATCAATCTTCTTCTTTGGTCGTTGGTAGTGGTTTTTAATCAGCGAAATTCGTGATCTGACCTCGGCAATGCTCAAATAGTGATCCGTGTCCATATTTGCACCTCTATAAGATCTTGCATTTATCATGTTGGACTTGTGACGGGCACTAATGAGTACATGGTCTATCTGTGATGCTGTTTGCCCATTTGGAGAGATCCATGTTGCTTTGTGGATATTCTTTCGAGGAAAAAGAGTTGTTCCAACAACCAGTCCGTGCAATGTAGCAAAGTTCACCATCCGTAGCCCATTATCATTACTGGTCTCATGCAAGCTGTGGGTTCCTATGGTCGGCATGAGTGCCACCTCCTTACCAACTTGTGCGTTAAAGTCACCAAGAATGATTTTAACATCATTTTTGGGGCAGCTTTCTGTCACGCGTCCAAGTTCTTCATAAAATGCTTCCTTATCCTCCTCAGGTGACACCTCTGTTGGGGCATGGCAGTTGATTAGAGAGAAATTAAAAAATTTTCCTCTAAGCCGAATGTAGCATAACCTTTGGTTAATGGGAGTAAATCGCATCACCAACTGTCGAGCTCTGCCTCTCACAACAAATCCGGTACCGAAGATGTGATGCTTTTCATGGCAGCTATAGTAGAGTGTATGGTACTTCTTCTCCATAATTCCCTGTCCTATCCATCGGACCTCTTGGATAGCTGCTATGTCGATTCTGTATGTGTCCACTTCTGCAAGGAGCGCACGAAGTGCTCCTAGTCTATGTAATGATAAAATGTTCCAAAATCCAATTCTTAGGTCATTTAGGCGTTTCCTGGGTCTGTTACCGTAAAATCGTATCCTGATCATTATTTTTGAACAAAATTTTTACAATTAACAATAATCATAATACTTGAGTAATACTTTTTTAAAAACGTTATTTATTTATTTTATTTTTTTGTGAGTCAGAAGTTTTAGGTGGAGAATATTGTCAATTATTAGCAACAGCACATATTTATTTCCAAAATTTATTAGAAATTTTGGTTTACAAAAACATATATTAATATAGTGTATACATATATATAGTGCAGGTGCCGCATGCACAATTGAAGCGATTTCAGAATTATAATATTAAAAAAATGTGTAAATTAATAACGTATACATGCATATTAATATGTCATTTAATTTGTGTGTGATGATTTTTATTTTCTAATCAAAAAATTTTTCATCACAATTTAATCATTATTATTAATGTAAAACCGTATCACTCAGTGAGTGATCATTATTTTTAATTGAATAAATAATTATCAAAGATCGATTTAAATTTTTATTTATAAATAAGACACAATTTTTAAATTAAAAATTAAATTAAATAATTATTACATGATTTTGTGAAAAAAATAATTATCGATTTGAAACCCTGATTGAAATACTTTGTTCAATCACCTTTTACCAAGGGTTGAAACTTTTAAACAGTTTCTGTGATGCGTTTTAGGAAAAACTTTTCGATCTAAATGTTTTAAGGAATTTTTTGTAATAAAGTTCTAAGGTTTATGGTAAAAGTTTAACTTTTATTTACTTGCTTTCTTAAATAAAAGTTACATTAAATGAGAAATAATCAGTAATTGAGGTTGGATTAGAGTTCTAATTTATCTTAAATTAATTACATAATTCTAAAGTAGTGTTTGTTTGAGTACCTAAGAATACAAGTCATTTTTTGTTTTGATATTTTGGTAAAATAAACAAAACTTTTAATAAAAGCTTTTTAAAAAAAAAAGTTCTGCACAACCTTTACTTGAAAAGTTGCAAGGGAAAAAGTTCTAGTTCTAAAATAACAGGAAAAAAATGGAAATAAATATTCCAGTCATGCCAAAACTGGTTAACACATTTACTGCAGTATGCATTATGTTTCAAGATACTGAGTGTAATTTTTTTTCTATTTTTTCAACTCAGTAAATTCATAATGAACATAGGCCAAAGTACTCACCCCATTTTCTAGTATGTGTCTTTTATCGTCAAATGTAGAAAAAGAAACTTTATTTATCTCGTTACTAAAAATATTATGCTGCTTTGATTGTATTGATCTCATAGGTATATGCATAATTTCATTTTTCAATAACTCATAGTCTTCAAAAGTAATATACAGGGTCTTTCATAATTGCACGGCACTATTTTAGGTATTTGTTCACTAACACAAAACAAACAAAAAAGTTCATATTAAAATATATCTCAAACTCATTTATTAAACGGATATCAAAGATTAAAGATTTATTATTTGTTTACTACATTAAGACTGACTGTACAAAGTTTTACGTGTTTAATACTAAATAATAGCTTTTGATCACCTGAAAAACAAATGAACAATAAGCAATGATAGCAGTTGTTCATCTGTTTGTCTAGTTCTGTGTGTTTTAGTGTGAGTGAATACTGTGATACAGTTCAATTTATGATTATCATGGGAGACACCATAAATTTATTATTTTTGCGGAACAGACATGCTTTTAACTTATGGTGAGGTACTTAGAAACGGTGCTGCTGCTATTCGAAGATATCGTGAAAAATTTCCTAACCAAAGAATACCAAATCGTAAAATGTTTGAGACTATTGAAAGATGCCTTAGAGATAATGGCATGCTAAAACCTATACGAGTAAACGCCGGTCAACAAAGATTTCGATGAACTACAAATGTTGAAGAAGAAATACTTGATGCTGTTCAGTTATCTGCTATTACTAGTACCAGAAGACTGTCACATCGTTTTGATGTTTCCTCTTTCAGCGTATGGCGAACTTTACCCGAATAACAATTGTATCCATTTCACGTATCGAGTAGGCAAGATTTGTTACCACAAGATTATAACGCGCTGAAATTTCTCCCAGTGGTTAATTTGACAATGCACTCGAGATTCTAACTTCCTGAACTGCATTTTGGTTACTGACGAATCTTGCTATATAAGAAACAGGATTCTTAATTTTCGAAATACCTAAATACTTGGGCTGAAGAAAACCCTTATACGACTGCTGTTGGATATAACCAACATACCTTTCTTTAAATGTCTGGTGTGGTCTTCTAAGCAACAAGATCACGGCCCCTTCTTTTTGCCATCTAGGCTGTCAGGTGTATCTTCCTTGCATTTTTTACAAAATAATATTCATGAACTCCTAGAAGATATTCTGCTAGGCATTAGGCAAAGGCTATGGTTTATGCATGACGGTGCTCCAGCTCAGTTTTCTAATAGTGTCACTGATTATTTAAATGAAACTTATGGAGACCGATGGGTTGGTCGAAATGGATCTGTTAAATGGCCACCACTATCTGCTGATTTAACGCTATTATATTATTTTGTGTGGGTCTCGATGAAGTCTATGGTTTATTCTGCGGCAGTTGGCATGCAAGAAGAGCTAAAAAATCGGATCGTGGAAGCCGCAGTAACTATCAAGCACCATCCTGATGCTATATGAAGAGCTAGACAATAAACATAAATAATAATAATATTAGGTATGATTAGTTTAATGGAAAAAAAAATGAAGTCATATCTTAAAATGTTGAGAACATGGAAAATCGTAAGTGTGTTCAATCGATATTTATTTCCTAAGGAGTTAAATTGGTGGGAAAAGAAGGCTAACTTTTAAAAGAGGCGGGTAGTATATAACTTAAACCATACAATTTTGATATTTACTTTAAATGAACCTGAGGTGGAGAGGACAAGGGCTGGCAAGACTACCCTACCCCTCCGCAATAGTGGCGCTGCCTGGTGCTACCTGTTGTAAGCCTTATCTCAAACATTGTGGATTACCTGTCAGCAATCAAGATGGCTGAAAGAGTAGCAAAACAGAACTAATTCTAAAATTTGTACAGTACACCCATGCACTTATCTGCCCTATTGAGTATTTCAGATTCATTAATAAAAATAACATGAAAAATTATTTTATACATATTATGTTTAGCATTTATACAATATGCTATGTATATTAAAGATATTGTTCTTCAGTCAATGGGTCAGAATTCTTTTAGTTACAAAATTACTATAGACATTTTATTACATATTTTATAAACTGATTAAGTATATTAGCATGCCTTAATTATTTCTCAAATATTTTAAATTTAAATGATAATTTGTTTATTTTTACAGGCAACTTTTGCCACTTCTGAAAAACTAGTGGATTTAAGGGAATTTTTGATTAGCAAAATCCCACTTGATTATAACTTTGTTTTCGTCCTATTGCCGGCTAAAAATTTTGAGGAGTCCGAAGAATATAAGTCATTCTTAGAGTTAGATTTATATCCATCTGTTACTTTAATGATAAAATCTTGTTCTGAACAAGAATCCTAAATAATCTTGATGTACTTTTTATGCAGGAAATAATTGTTTTGTTTTTTTTTAATTGTATTTTTTATGGTTTTAAAATCATTTCCCATTGTGATTATTTAGTTAAAAATTAAATTATTTTGTTTATTATTGATAATATTCTTTAAAAAGTATGATGTTTTATGATGTTACTTATTAATTATTAAATTATGATGTTATTAATAAATTATTAAAAATATAAAATTCTATTTTTATCCTACATCTTTAACATAATTGTGTATATTTGCCCTTCAGATTTTACTTTCTCACACTCACACCTATGTATGAAATATATATTGTATGGGCAGAGTCAAAGCTAGAATTTTTACCAAGAGGTGAATATTTAATTTCCCTTCCCTTTTTTTTCACCCTCCAATTCCTTCCAATAAAATTCAATGTTACATAACATTATTTTAGGTAATATATTTTGAAAAAATATATCAGAACACGAAAATAACTATTTCTTTTTAATTCAGCTAAAAAAAAAATTACTGGAAATATGCTGCCTCCTAAATTCTGCCCTCTGGGGCAGGGATATTTAAAAATCGAAACACAAATCTTTTCACAGGAAGTTTCCTCAAACGGAGAGAATTACGAGTAAAAATAAAAACAATGGTGTTAAAATGGAAAGAAACAAAATAAAATGAAACCTGTAAAAAGGTGAAAATACATACAAAACAAACAAATATTAAATATAAATATAATTAATCAATTAAGGATGAAAAACAAAATAAACAATTCCCTTTTGAATGCTTACAACATTATTGAATATAAAATATGTTTATATATACAAAGGTAAAAAACAAACAATGAAACAATGGTATAAAAGTTCAAATTAAAGTAAAAATTAAAAATATAATATAATATTCAATAAAATAAAAAATTAACCATTGGGAATAAACATAAATAAAAATAAAAAGCTAATCACAAAAGAAAAAAATTAAATTAATGTTAAATTTCTTTCGGTGAGAAAACATCTATGAAAAATTCCAGGTGTGAAGTAGTTAATTTTACTTCAACGAGGTTACCTTGAGATACCAGCGGTTACCTTTATAATTCAAGCTGTCCCCTTTCGTAATTCAATCCCTTCCGATATCCGACGTGCACAATCAGTTGCGTAATTTAAATCTCTCATTTTTAAGCACCTACTCCTTTCCCAATAATATTTAAATTAAATTGAATATTTAATAGTTTACCGTTGCATTATAAAGGAAGGAGATGATCCGGGGTGGTGGTCATAAATAGGCTAAATAGTGATAAAACTATTTTTATTAAAAGCCTACGTTTCGACCCCACTTTGCAGGTCTTCTTCAGGGCTAGAACGGACAAGATACAAAAAGATAGAGAATTGTGGAAGTTACATAATATTTCGACAAAAAATTATAGATAATGTGAATAAGCTTATTAAAATTATAAACACTAAGAACATTAAAGTATGAACAGAGTAAGCTAAGTAACAAGATCCTAAACTAAAGTAAATAGATGCTGACAATTGTTGTAGTGTAATATATAAAAATGCAAATGTGAATATACTTCTACAGATCTACAGGAGAGATTGAAAGAAAAGGAAAAAGGATATAATATGAAATAATAGACATAAAGGAATGTAGAGAAAAAAAAAATAAAAAAAAAAATTAAACATTTAAAATATTATAAAATTAAAATTTTATGGGGACTGGATGGATAAAAAAATAAAATGAAGAAATAAAAACCTCGACACAGCGTGTTCAAATAAAGGTAAATTGAATCTGAGGATGAAGGAAGAGGCAAAGACAGGATGACCCCAAGTATCAGGCGGAAGATCATCCAAATCACTCTTGATCTGTGAGCTATGAGATGAGCCTCCAGACTTGGTATACAGGAGTACAAGCAGATGGATGAGCATCCAGATCTGGTATGGAAAGCGAAAATGAGAAAAGGTTAAAGAAGCATAATTAAATAAAAGGCAGATTTATGCAGAACCAAAAACCATATATAAAATATACTGATCAATCTACCTGGAAGGTTTGACATCCCAGAGCGTGCAGATCCAAGAACTGAAAATTGATGCAACTTGAAAATTTATAAAAAGGCGTTGGGTGACCATTTTATATTCCATACCTTTCACCCATATATGCTAGGCATATATCAACTTTAAAAATCTAATTCATTTTTCTAGTTTTTGAGCTAGACTGTTCATTCACACATCATTTGTTTTTTGTGGTAATTTGTTATTAAGATTCAGGAGATCTTGGAGATTGATTTCCATTGGAAACTTGGATTATAAGTTTTTAATGATCACAATACTTTCCTTTGCCAGGCTTGAAACTAGAAAGAGGGGCAAAGGGGCTGTTAAAGCCTGTATATATTTTTTCTCTTTTCTTTTTTTTATTCTCATCACTCATTCTTTTTGGATGTTAATTGAATAAAGTAAAGATATAATTATTTTTGTAAAAAGCTGAAGAATAATTGTTCCAGAAACCTATTTTAACTGTTTAATATAAATAAAGGAAAGAGATGGTCCGGGTTGGCAGTCATAAATAGGCTAAATAGTTATCCGGTAAACTACGTTAGATCGGTGTTGTAAAAGTATGGGATCCTTCAAATTAGTGAAAAGGAAAGAAAGTTTGTTATGGGACTTAAGGCCAAGAAGTAAGTTGGTTATTTTAAATACCGTCTGTGGTGTTTGAAATACCATTAGATGAGGGTGATGAAGACGGAGTACGCGAATGATGTGAAGTTATCTGTGGAGAGTCTGAGATGTGGTGATTAGGGCCAGATACAAACTCAGCACCTCTTCGCCGCAGTTCCAGACTTCAATGTAACATCAGATCCTCACCGCAGACTTTACCCCAACATCGGTTTAATAATTTTCATGTTTCCCCCTCATTAAAATTTATGAATTTATGACAGTCATTATTAAATTTCAAAAAGTCTTTGTTAAATTAAAAAAAAGAGAGATCATGCAGGAATTAGATTTTCTTAATTCAAAATTTTCCTCTCTCAGCACATTTCTTACATCTATTATTGGTGAAAAAAATATTACAAAACTCAAGTACAAAATTTCACAAATTTGTTCCTCTATTAAAACCATTAAAAAGCAGTATAAATTTAATGAAATATACCAACTTTCTCTAAAAAATAAAATTTATCCTAAAGGCAGTGACAAATGGCTAAACAATATTTCCTCCACCAATATACCCCCTCAGGTAGTCAATATTTTAAGTTTAGGCCCCAATTTTTCTTCCCCCTCTTCCAAATGCTCCCATCTCATCCCTAGCCTAATTACAGAACTAGAAGGCATATATAGAGATGACCGTTTTGGAGCTAACGAAGAGGAGAAAGAATTATCCCGCATTCGGATCAGTAACACGATCTCCAACACCCTCCATCCCGTTTGTCTCCCCCTTTTCTTCAAAGATTTATCCTCAACCCGATCTTTCCTAAAAACAAATGACCACCTCATTATTACTAAGGCTGACAAAGGAAATTCAACCGTTATTAGGGACAAGACAGAATACACACATAAAATGCACCAACTACTTTCAGACCAAACAACTTACACACCCTCCCCTCGTTACCCAACCCGTACACTAATGTTAAAATTTAACCTACACATTAAAAACTTACTCGAGACCAAACAAATTAACCTTTTTTTTTTTTTTTTTTTTTTTTTTTTTTTTTTTTTTTTTTTTTTTTTTTTTCCTCTACCTGGCCATTTCTGGCATACGGGGTTCGGTGACAGTAGGGTAGTGCACATGGGATTTGCGCATGCCACTGCCACCAATAAACTCTTCTTTTTTTTTTTTTTTTTACTCTTTATTTATATGTTTATATTTATACATGCTTTAGGATATTTATATTTTTGGGGACAATATAGGGTTTCTGTGGTGCAGTCCAGCGTGCGGTTGCACGCTTTAGGAAGGGACTGCACCTTCTCTTTCTTCTTCTTCTTCCTCCGTCGCTTCCTCTACGGCTTCCGGCGGGCGTCCTCTCCCAAGGGTGAAGTGCTCCGGGCCCACCGCCTCCTTCCATCTCCTGATGTACTCGGTGAAGTAGGGGTAGAAGTCCTCGCTCATCAGCCTCGGTAAGTCCGCCTCTTCCATCGCATATAGCCCTGTCATCCTTGATAGCCAAGCTCTGTGCCCAGCCATCTTTTCGCAGCTCAGGACTACATGCTCCGCCGTGTCCGGAATCCCACAAGTGGGGCACAAGGGGTTGATGTTCTTCCCATGCTTGTTCAGCTTGGCTCTGAAACCCCCGTGCCCCGTAAGGATCTGAGACGTCCAGTAGTCAGGTCTCACCCACTTCGCCTCCATTCTGGAACTGACGGTGGGGAAATACTTCCTGAGGGTAGAACCCTTTTCGCTTCTCACCCACCGCTCGTTCCACTCCCGAAGTGAGTCCTCCTCCACCAGCCTCTTCCATCTTCCTGGCTCCTCCTCAGCCCTTTGCCGTAATCCCTCCGGAAGCGAACCGAGTCCGTGTCTTTTGACATCGAACCTGATTACGTCTTCCTTTAGGATCAGGTCAATGGGCATCTCTCCAGCCAGTATCTGGACCGCCTCGTGCGACACCGTCCTGTAAGCTTTTGTTACTCTCAGCAGGGCCAGTCTCTGTGTGGTTGCCAGCTTTCCACGCTGCTCTTTTGTCAGCCGCCGACTCCACGCAGGCGATGCGTACCTAATTATACCTAATACTACTCCTTTGTAGATTGTTCTGGTCGCTGGGTACTTGACCCCCCAGAACGCACTACCTATCCTCGACAGGCCATTTAGTGTGGTGGTCACCCTTCCTCTCAGGTACGCGATGTGTGGGCTGGGGTCGAATGATCTTCTGAACCTCACCCCTAGGTACGTTACCTCCTCACACGCGCGCACCCTCGCTCCACCTATGTCTAGGTTGATTGGGTGGGCTCTGTCGGTTTTCCCCTTCAGCAGCATCGCCTGTGTCTTCTCAGCCGCCATCCTCAGCTTCCTCTTCTGGCACCACTCCTCTACTAGGATGGCCAGTCCTTCGGCTTCCTCCTTCACTCTGGCCCTGCTGTTTGCCGTCACCAGCACCGCCAGGTCATCCACGTATGCAATGGCTCGGTACCCCTTCTCCTCCAACTCGCCAAGCAACTGATCAAAAACTAGTTTCCACAGTGCTGGCCCGAGTACCGAGCCCTGCGGGCACCCTCTCTCGATCCCCCTCTCCACCTCGAAGGAGTT